TTAAAACGCCTCTATAGAGTAAAGTGTAAATAACCTCTACTTGTTGCCCCTGGCTAATGTCCACAATCCAAGACGTTGATGCCTCTTTGTGAGGTTATTTGCAATTTTTTGCCATTTATTTTTAGCAAAGTCCAGGATTACTGTTTGATTGGGAGATACGCAAAAAATGTAACTTCAAATGCTGTTAGTAGTTCTTTATTAACTGTTAGGTCCTTTGTTTTGCACGATGTTTAAAGTCTCACTTGCTCATCTCACTCTGAAAAAAAGTAAAAAGAGGAATTAGTTAAAGTAACGGGTCCTCTCTCACCAAGGCTCACTCACGTGAGGGTTGTTGGACTTCCCTTTCTCGAATTAATTTAAGGAAACAGGAGATCCCGCCAAGGTACGACTCCAACTGCGAATCACATGGATCTACCATCATTGGAGCTGTAGCTGCTTTACCCTCCCGTTGAGGAACCATTTCTAGAGTGAAAAATTGCAGTTTTACTAAATAAATTGTGCAGTCTTTGAGAATGAGTGATTACTGCCCAGAAAGTGTATTTACCTAAGTCCTACTACCAAAGTTAAGCAGAATCTGGGTCCTCCTACCGCCCAATGGTGCTTATTTTCATTAAAATTTCTCGTACCGTTGTTCTGTACTTTACGACTATAGCTTGCAGCTATGGAACAAAATTTACTTTAAAAGTAGTGCTTAACCATCACAGAATAGCTGAATTCCGTATTGAAGTGAATGGCATTTTTTATTGCAGGAAAGACCTCGATTGTCTAAATTACATAAATAGGTGTGATAGGGTCTCAGCAGATCTTTTGCACATCAATCAAGACGACTGTCAAAAAATGTAAGTAAGGTGCACTTAGCCCTTTATTACCGATGTACTACCATGTCCCTTCAAAACAAACTTTTCCTGTTGTTAGTTAAGCACTTAAATCGACGCTGAAATGTCCCAGAGCCTGGTTGGCACTTTAGTGCTCTAACTTGAAAACTTATTGTTTTGTCTACAGCCCGCGATTGTTTCATCACTGAATGTTCTCACCCAGGTTGAGCAGAGGACTTTATGTGCAAGCTCTGTTATTCCTTGTATTTGACTAGTTGTATCAGTTATTAGCCATGCCTGATAAGTTTGCACCTGTGACACCAATTTAAAGTCTCTTCGAAAGTAATTTTCCAGTGACAAAATTACATTAAGTTTATGACCTACCTAAGAAGGACTTATCAAATATCTTTATCTTGCTGAAACTAGCAGCTGCAATGACTTTATTATACTCGGTTATTAAATTTGACTCTTATCCATAAAACGAAAATTCTTTTGTTGTCATGTGCTCTATCACGCAAAACCGTTGCTCTTTCCATTTCCATTCGTGGTGAGAGAAAAGGAAGTCACTCAAAAGCTGGGCAGGGAAATAAAGTAACACGCAAGAATTTTACCCGATGTAGATGGCACTGCGGATGCTGACGAAGTCTCACACGAAACAGTTAATTCCAGAGGGGAATTCACCTCCGACAGCACTTCCTCTTGCCTACAAGGTAGAAGGAAGTTCAAAAGTTAAAAACACCGCCAAGGTGGAACTGAAATTTGGTTAATCTCTCGATTGACATGACTGAGTTTTCCTACCTCCTCGGTCTCGAGATATCATACGATAGACACTTTAGCCCAGGCAACTTGGAAAATAGCTGACATCGGATTTTATCAAGTGCCATCAATTATCTTTTGGCCAGCATGAATGTTCAGAAGCTCACACCGTTCTTGCAGCTTTAGATACCCTCTAATTATGACTGCAGCATTATAGAAAAGGTGTAAAAACATCACAACAAAACCCTAATTTTTTCTAGGACTTGCCCCATTTCAAGAAGTTACTGTCAAAATTTGTTAGAAACTTTTGGATCATTAGCTTTTAAAAATAATACTACTTTTCAGCATTCAGAAATCAACTCCAATTTTTGTACTTAACTATCACTTGCAGTTTGCAAGACGATCTGAACTGAAAGGAGAACAATTTACACTCAAGTTATCCAGAAGAAGCCTTGTTTCTTCTTATACAACCTAAACAATCCCGTGGTTCTCAGTGAGAGCTTTACTTGATTAAGCATTTTGACCTCTTTCCCACCTTCATTCTGCACCCTTGAAGGGCTTTGTTTTGAGTGCTTTATGGATAGACCTGTTTCAAACTGATTCCCTAGAGCCAAGTTTCTTTGGAAGCCAGATGCATTTTACAATCTTGTGTGAAATAACAAATATTTTGCCCCTCTTAAATTGAGTCTGTACCATCACGATAATCCAAGGTGACGATAAATCCTTCACTAGGTGAAAAAATTGTAACTTAGTTTGTGTGAGATATTCGCCACGGTCACTTAACCAATTGGACTGTTTGATGATGGAGAAATTCTTAAATGCTCATTCAGTCGGAATAGTGTCTGATTTCATTTAATTTGTGCAGTCTCATTGAATTACGCCCTTTAAGGCTGAATACAGTGAAAAGGGTAAAACTAATTAGGCTGGAAACGGGAGTCTTTTTTATTGATAGGGCATTTTAAGGGGGTGTTTATTCACATCCGCAGTATATGTTGTGAAAATGAAACCCGTAAATGAGGGCGATTTGCCGCTTTCGTGAGGCTTGCATAGAAAATGCGATGTTTTATGTATTCCAGGCGCACTTCAGTCTAGTCTACACAAAGTTAGTCAAGGTGGCAATCGTTGTGTATGATATGGCGAATGGAGATGAATGAAGATTCCTGTGAGCAACAAAAGTGTAGGAGCCGTGGGCGCTCCCATCCGCAGACGAAATCACAACACGCAGTTTGCATAGCGACGACACTCTCAAATCTTCGTTAGTGAGATATTTGTAGGGTGAAAGGTATCGATGGTAACTGTCTTACAACCGACCTTGATCATCCTGGCTATTTTCAGTTGCATTTGCATCTATTCATCTCGTCGAATGCCTGATTGTGAACCTCTTCCAGGTGCGAAATTTCTTGAATTCGCTCATTAAGCCAATATTTTTATGTCGAAGGTCTTTAGAACACATGTTGTTTAAAAGCACTGACATAAAAATACCAAGTAGTGAGCGATTTTGTCGCAAAATAGATACCATTTCATGGGCTAGCATGTCAATTACCTAACCCAGAGATTGAATGTCAATTAAAACTGAGTATGACATTCCCATTTTTAGAGCTGAAAATGATTTTCAGTAGCAACATGCGCTACCTACTTACTAAGAGCAGAACTGTCATTCATGAACAATTTTTACTCACTCAACTCCAGTGATAGCAGCAGGATGGACTGGAGGAGGTTGCAAAGTTTCCAACGCTGATATGCGTTGTTTCCACCATGGATTCTGTGCAGTCAGGTGCGAGAGTGTGCCTTCATCTGTTGAGGGAATGAGCGACGGAAAATTTGTCAAAAGATCCTCTGGCCGTGGAATGGATGAACCGTTCAAAAAGCCACCGACTTTGAGCACGTCTGAAAGATTCAGTCAGGGCTTTTGAAAAGATAAGAAAGTCAATTCCCAATTAACTGTCCGCTTGATTATGTTTGGTTAACTGTTCCCTAGTCGCTAAAAACTTGAAGATCTTGCTTCAAACCGAGCATTGGTCTTGAAAAGGCAGACCCGTTCCGTCTCCCTGTTTGTATTCTGAGATTTTATTTTGCTTTAAATAGGCCATTTTTCCTACCTTAGAATAGAAACTTATAGTAGCATTTTACTTATTCTGAGATCATCGGTTTTTTCGAATACATGCTTGTCTCTGTGGCCTCCAGAATTCATACATTTTATAAGTCCACCTTGGTGTCACGACAAGAAGGCCACACTCATGGCTTCTCGGGGTCTCTGAGTGCAAGAATAAGGCCTAAAGCTGATGTTCTCAAGTTGCGATGGGTCATCAGGATTGGAAGGATTAGGTTAATGGCAATAGAAAACAGATCTGTTCAAAAGGACAACAATTTCTACTGCTTTGACCAGCCACGGAACCCAAACGCTACGCATGAGTGCATTTTTGGGAAGAAAACTATTAAATGTTCGTTAAAACCACGTCTTCTCTTAAAAATCAAACTAATCTTATATTTTGCAAGAAGTTAATTAATAGCTGAAAACAACTCAGACTCAAACGATTTAGAACCGTCCACAATGGAGCTGCTCCGAGCACTCTACACGAAATTTATTGCTAAGAATAGGAACCAATTATACTACTGAGCAACAATGAAGTAGGGACAAAGCGATGAGGAAAAATTAATGCAAAATATCATCGCCTTTGATGTCAGCCGAAGTTGTCTTTCACTAACTCCTTTTGTTTTGGGTAATGTTCCAATAAATAACGAATGGCGCGTACAATTAACTTATTGCAGATTTTTGATCAGTCTAAGGTAGTAAAAAGGTAACAAGTCTCCATTGGTAAATGTAGTTTACAATGGAAACTAAACAGGCAACGAAGTAAACCAAATTTCTTCTCTTCTGAGCAATGGGTAGTTTTTAAGTTACCGACTAATTTTTAACGGTCGAGGCAGAAGAATGACAATGTTCAAAGGAAGAAGAAGGCTTCACAGAGCTCTAATATTTGCCTAAATGGCTACTTGACTTCACAGCTTCATCGTGCTCTCTTGATTGTGCCTTATTTTGGTCAGATAGCCCCTCAACCACGCTTTTGGCCTTCCAGTTTTTAAATATGTCAATTAAAACTATACCTTTCGGTTCTCCTAATTTTTAGTCTAACTCTACAGTACACTGGAAACAGTCCAGTATGAATACTCGTATTTTGACTAGTCTATTATAAACTTGAATTACACAGGGTAGAAGGCATAAGGTTGAGGCTCATCAAGTGTTAAAGCAAGTCGAAAATGCGCCGCTACTGCTACTGGATCTACATCAGTTAAGATGTAGCAGTGAATAATTAGAACAAACGATCCAGATTGTTACATATAAATACATTCAATAAAAAAGGCTAAAGGCTTAGAAAAAAAAACTTGAAATCGAGTGTTATAAAGGGGGTAATCAGTTGGTGTGGAGTTTTAATTTAATTTTAAAATACAATGTGTCCTCATGTACACTTTATCTTTTGGGAGCCAGTTTTGAAATGTCACGAGGTCAGTTCCATTTAGTTTAAGAATAGGCTGCATAACTACTGACTCACTCAAACGTGATTCGTTCAGATACTGGCTGTTCTTCTCCAGCACCTTTCGGCAATCAAAGGATTGCGATGGAAGTGGGTTTCCCCCAGTGGGTCGAAAACTCGTTGATGGTGTGATACCATTTTGATCGTTTCTGTGTGGTTTCTCACCCACCCCTAGGAGCCGAAGTTAAAAAAAAAAAGTTTGACCACTTACATGAAAGTCGAAACCACTCAAGAACGGATTCCGGTGGAAGGCTCAACAATTGCAACAGCCTCAGACCCCTTCCAGAGTCGAGGTTTGGAGGAAGACCCAATTCAAAGCGGGGCATTTTTGGGGAAAAAAGGCTCTCGCCACTGGATGGAATATTAATGCGTTCTTGTAGGTAGAGCGGCGTTGCCGTTCGCTTTGATGGCCGCCCGGGTCGAGCACTGTAGAAATGTACCAAAAAACAGGAAAATATGCCAACCATGCGGTTGAACTTCTCATCTTAAATTGTCCACAATTTCACTACGAAAAACTGAAGGTCTTCGGTTTCATTTACCACGCAAATTCCCGTAGATATTATAAGACGAAAATATTTAAAGCTAAGACTTCTGCAATATTATTTTGCTAACGCTTAGTTGATTTGACTTGTCTGGACCGCGTTGCAGCATCCGACAATCTCCACTGGTTGAATTTAATTGTCAATTTTTGTGAGGTTCTAGCAGCAAGCCTGTTAGTCATCAACATATCCTTCTACCTTTTGCCTAAAAACTGCCCTACAGATTCTAACAGAAGTGCATAAAATTGGAACGAAGTAAGTACTCAGGAGTTAAAACTAGTTTTTAATGTATTTTGCTAATTACAAAGTACGTGTAGTAATAAATTGGTGTGTTTCTTTCACTGAACATGTGCTGGAAATGCATCTGCCCAAAGTTAATAAAGAATTGGCTTTTTGGTAAATGAAAATATTTGCTGGAAACAATTTTTAAAATCTGAGTAAAATTCCGCTGGACCACTTATGGCTACATTTGCAAGGAAAACCACCCCCGCATGGAATCCCAGATTACTTAATTTGTACACAATTGTCATGACAATACTCAATATTAAATCCCTCCTGCACCCCACCCCAGCCCTTCCTGTCCAAAATTGATTTTTGAGTTGGTCTAGGGGAGAGGAGGGGCGAGGTGTGGGAATTGTCGTCTATCCACAATAAAGCCGAGGAGTCCTTCATTTAGGCCGTTGGAGGGCCGAAGTCATTGTTACATAGCCTCTTTTGCATTGTCTAAATAATTTCGATTGCTTCTGGCAATATTGCCTCTGTAATTGCATTTTTCGCTACATTGGGAGGTAGTGGATTCACACACACCCTCTGAGCACTTTAATTAATATTCAAAGGCCTTTGCCTGACCGATAGCACTGAAGAAAGGCATTTTCTCATTTACGTCTTTGGCAATGGGATTTATTCTGGGGTATTTTTTGAAATGGACACTAGTAATTGTGTTTTCTTGCATCAGTAATAAAATGCATGAGGGAGGCTCCGTTGTAGGAAGAAACAATGCTGCACGGTAGGCAAAATCTGCTTAATGTGAGGCAGAGCTGTAGAGGTGACTTGAAGAATGGGAAGTCTGCCTACATCTTGTGAGTGCAATCAGTTTAAAATTTAACTTACATCTTAAAAGCATCGACATAGACCTCTTACTAGAAAAGGCAGCATGCAAAAGTTATAAATGTTTGTGAGTGGCTGGGCTCGCTGTTACTACAGAATGACCTGTCTCTTGTAGCATTTCACAACAGGCTAGGCGCTATTCAGGCGTTCCTCCCCCTATCTAAATATTTACCGGAAAGCTTAACAAGGCTTTGGACTGGGATTCACCATGATTTAGCACCTGCTAGACATCTTGCCATCGTATTTTGCCTAAGTTCTTTAGTAGGAGCATTTTTCCGCGGATTTTACACCCTTTGTCACCATTACACACCTTCCCACCCAACTTCCTAGGTTATGATCATTGATGACTGCTGCCATCTTGATTGAGGATGCTTGAAATGGATTGTTGGTAGCAGTTGGTACCTGTAATAACAAATCTACCACTCACGACTGCTCACAGTGCCTCTATGGCGACACACCTTCTATAGACTCGGATTGATTTGAACGATCTTTCTGATCCAAGATATCAGCAAATAAGGTGTTTAACCAATGGACAAACGGTTATCTAACCCAAAGGTTAAAATAGTTCCACCCTAGCAGGCAATCATATTCTAGATCAAGATTTATTGCAAAATGATGATTTGAACGTAACTTTTGTTGAATACTAATGCTTCATCTAGACAAGGCAATTAGTTTCGACTGATCTTAAAATTATGCTCTCATTCTATTTAGTTGACCCCAGCTCTTGAGGAGAAACAGTTGCATTCGAAAGAAGCAATTCAAATTCTTGACACGAATTAACAATAATAGAATTTCCATGAAAAAAATGTGGAAGGTAGTAAGAACATGGCCTGGAAATAAGATGGTGAGAAAGGATCAGAGAGAAGAAGTAAAGACCTTCCTAAAAATAAAACTGCTTTTGACTTAGCAACGTCACCGTATGATGCAAATGTTCTTCGACACTTGAAGAAGAAGAGCAATGTCGTTTGTATAAAGTGAACAAATTGATAAGAAAAAATGATCTTAGCGCTTATTTCTCCTTCTTGTCAGTGTCATTAGTAGACCGGCATAAAGATGGCAATGTAGAATCCTCCCCCCCAATTTTAACACATTTACTTTCCTGTTCAGTAGCCTTGCAGAGCTCAAAATTTCCCTCTAATAAGCTAAACTCGGAAGGACTTTTGAGAATGAAGGAATGGGCGCAATCCCTCATTTCTTTCTTCCCCTCTCCCTCCTGTGTGCTCCTCGAACTTGTGAAATGCAATTATAATTCAGGGGAAGAAACTCCTAATCCGCCTGGATTACGAATGCAATCTAGCCAACACTACCTTCCACCCCCTAATCCAACACAATTGTGCGTGCCTCTGGGTAGGATTGTTTAAATTACCGTAAGTCAACACCACCACTGCCAGCAGCAACAGCAGCTTGGGATACCATTGTTAGTATCCATTCAGGCAGTCACGATTGCCAACTCAAAATGCTAATTAAGTCTTCAAGGCTTATGTGTGTGTGTGTGTGTGCCTGTGCTGTCTTAATAATGAAAGTCATTCTTCTAATCCTCCATGCTCCCCCTCCTTTCCCTCTCATTTTCTGTGCACTTTGAGAATGAAATCGGAATTGCTAGCAGAAGAAACAAAGCTGTCTTTGTTCGCCCCAGTACTTGTTTATTAAAATTATTTGGATCTGATAATATTGTATTAGTGTTTGGGATCCAACTCCAGCTGTGTTACCGCCGTCCCCTCGTGATTAAGAAGACAGTGTCCTCAAGCAAGAACCTTAAGTATTTGGCGAGTGACTATGAAGTTGTGGAACCAACAGATCGTAGAGAAGATGAATTAAACTGTGAATAGCAAATCAACCCATAAACTTTCCGAGAAATGATTTGCGAAATTTGGTTATAAAAAGGAGTGCAAATCATGCAATTGAGCAAAGTATCACGTGGATGACCTGAGGTCAGGCTAAGGTTGACATGTTTGTCATTGGTGATGTAGCTATCCCGAATTATGCAAAAAAAATTTTAGTAGCGAGATTTGTAACAGCTAATATTACAGTAACGGCATTTGACGTTTGAACTGAACAGACGAGACAAAGAAGTCAGGCGCCTCTAAAAGTATCCGTGGCTTCCTTAAGAGTCTGTTAATGATGGTTTTCATTGTTATCAGATTAACTGGAATATCATGACAGCCTTTACCTTCAAATAGACATGTGCTGTTGTTAAATAATAAGCTGGTAGTATATACTCTAACGCACCCGTCCTCATGTAGTTTTTCGTTGTATGAGGATGCTACTCATAATATTAGTCAGTAACATATTGGCCTCTAAAGATGATGGTTTTTGGGATATGATACTATCAGGTAAATAGACCCACTTTTACTAGCCAATCGTCTTATTAATCGCATAGTTTTCTAAAAAATAAACTGAAGGATTTTTACAAATTATGCGACCAAAGGTTAGCGAAAATACTTCTATTTGCTTAAAACTGCCTCAAAATCGCCCTTTCTGGAAAAATCAAGCTCAAGACTGTTATCAAAAAATACCTGACTTTAAATTGTTGTTCCTAATCTCTGCTTTTGCAATAGAATAAATATTTGTTCATTAATTTAGAGCACTGCGTTTTTTTCTAAAAGATGTCTGCAGGATTTCAAATTTTGACGCCGACAATTAGGATGAATTCTAGTAACACTTCCTAACACTTTGTAATGACATGACACTCTGTTTGTCTGTACTTCAGTCCCCGTAGGGTGTATTTCTATCCTGCATCATGGCTTGCTGACCATTCTGTACCCTAGCAATAGCTGAGCTTCCACACTGCCGACTTTAGGGAAGACTGGGCACACCACAAATGCACGATAGAATGCTCAACAACTGTCAAATTATTTGATCAAACTAGTAGCTTTTCTTGCCAATTGGTTAGGCATCAGCTAACGCATTTAAAAGCTTATATTTTCCGGCCTCTACTAGCTGGAATGTCGATAAGCTGCTTTTACACCGTGTAGTAAATATTGTTAAGTTACCGAAAATTTATACCATTTTCGTTACCTTTGGAGATTGAACTTCTTTCGATCAATTTGGGCTAAAAGTAGTTTAAACTTAATCTTTTTTATGTCATTACGTAACACGAAAAATATTTGAATTGCAACTTTACTGGCGCCCCATCCACTCGGCCTATGGTAGTGTGCCCTATCGGTTTAAAAGTGAAAGGTTCCTACTCATTTCTAAGTCCTCATGCTTCTAAGCTAAGCTAAGCTAAATTTCAGTCAAACTAATTCTTCCAAAAGTTGTTTATAGCGTGGTCCTGGCGTCCACCTGGAATCGTTAACCTCATCTGCTTGCTCATCAAAACAAGCCTTCAAATATTCATTCGATTAGTTGATACTGCTTAAGTAGACTGGACTAAATTTACTGAAACCTCCTGGACCACCCATCTTCCAAAAAAACTATTTAAATAGTCATGGTAGCTGATTAAGGTGAAAGATTACGCCACCTGATCCGTGACCCCAAACATTACGGCGTTTATTAGTCATCGTGGAACCTTAAATGCTCACTGTGGCAGTTAATACGATTTACAAAGGGTAAAGGATGTGTTTACGAAGCTCTGATTCCCGGTGCATCATTATTAATCCTTTTGCTTAGTAAATTGGGCCTAAGGCAATGCATTTTAACCATATTCGGTCACCAGAGAAGCTTTTTAAAACGCTCATTTAAAGGAAATGGCTACAAATAAAATCTCTCAAATTCTAATTATGGTAGGCAATTTCACGCATAGGTTTATCGAAACAATCGCTTAAAGTTATTATAACAGCATCTTGGGGTGTAGATCGGATCCGAATTAACGTCTACACAGTCAACAACGCCTGTCTCGAGATCAGCTGAAAATCCAACTTCAGATAGTGTCATTTTTTGCTTATCCGTTGATGCAAAACTTCCCAAATTGTCACGATTTCTGCATTGCTTAAATACATTCACCTTCCCCGTCTAAGATAATGACATCTCTACTTTTTAGCGTTAGTGAATACATGGCATCATAAATAAGGATTAGAGAGCATCCCATGAAACGCTTTGCATATTTATCCATCTATTCATAAAATATATTCCAAAATATGAACTTTGTATAGTCTGAAATGTAACCAGCATCGTATTTAAACACAGTCCATTTGAAACGCGGCAGCAGTATTCAAATACCAATCATAAAATGCGACAATAAGCTCATTGCTTACTTTGAAGTTGTGCAATCTGCATATAGAATGTCAAACTCCCTGGGGGCGATAAGCTTGCACCTATTGACACCGGGTTGAATGGCACCAAGACCGCGGAGAATCCGAACCTGTTCCACATTACACACTACGGGCTGGATTTCCAACCGCTTTAGTTTTGTATAGACGGTGTGGAGACCACCAACGAAGTGTTTGAGGAAGAGTTCGAATGCCTGAGGTAGACAAATCAGTGGTCCTCTACCTTCCACATTAAAAGCTGCCAGTTGGGCTCCTCGGTATTCCAGGAGTTGAACTTGGTTGCTACTGCCTCGACTGTTGTTATTGATGGTTTTGTTGCTCGGTGGAGCCTGCATTTTGCTGAGTGGTACAAGGGAAAACACTTAGGAGGGAAGCCTGCCGTATGCGTCCATGAGCGCAGTCGCTTTCATGAGCGTACCAATGACAATTGAGCAGGTGGTAGCCAATCAGGTATTGAGCTGTGTCGGGGAAGCTCTTCATCCCATTATGGTGAGTTTATCCACTGGAATCGTTTAAGCCAAATCGCAGCCTTTGAGTTCCTCCTAGAGGAGCCCACAAAATTTAACCAGTAAAATTTCATTTATTTGCCTTATGCATTTACCGCTCTTGTTTCAGTGCTAAACCAATACCTAGGAAACGCTGATGCAGAAATGTTTGTCGGTGCGACCGAACCATCCAAAGCCAGGCCACTTGATATGTAATGATTTATCGTGCTCACCATTATCATAGAAAGACTAGTCACTTGCGCAGTTTGCCTCTCTCAAGCAAACATAAGCAGAAGCTTGGCGAAATGTGAGTGTACGCAAGACTGACCGTCAAGACTGTGATAAGCAAACTGTCGGAGCTGGCATACTCACTAAATCTTTTGGGCCATTTAAACGTCTTAACACTGAGCGGGTTAAAGCGCTGCCATCGTGAGTTTTGTATCTTCTTGCTTAGGATGCTTCGTTCATTACTTCGTCCATACACATTTGCACACTATCACCAACTTTACCTACTGCTATTTTTGTCAACAGTGTCCTAACTGGACCGCTCCATGACATGCATGTCAACTGCTGATTGTGTGACACTCCGATCTAGCGTTGCCAGTATGGCATCTATTGTTATGGATGTAGAGCTGAAGACCCTTGCTTGTATTGTACGCCTCTTTAGACGATTGCTAACTACTAAGCTGTGCTAATCCCTTCAGAATCATACCTACTGCCATCCACATCTATGAATGCGGACATTTAAAGAGGTTTGTCGGCAATTTTAGCATGAAAGTAAAGTGGACTAGGGATTGCATTCTGCTTTAAGGCTGTCGCCGAATTTGCTCTATTTCAAAACCAAAAGAATATCTTAGTCTTTAAAGGGAACGTTTTGGTTGTTCGATTAGCCCTACCAACTTCTAGATAATCATATTACTAAATTTATTGAGACATTCTACGACTTTGTCAGTTTCATTTAGAATCGTAACTCATCCTACTTCCCCTGGAAATGCTTGTTAAATCCTGGATAAATAGATTTGCTCGGGCAGGGTCAACAAATGTAAAGGCTGTGTGATCCAAAAATGAATGTTTAAGGGTGTAAAAATTAATGAGAAGTGTCCTCTTAGGCAAGCTGATTTGAGCGTCTAAGTATATTTGGTCAATGACATAGTCAAGAAGGCTACCAAGAAGCAGAATTATATCACTAGAACCTAGTTAATACCTGCTACTAAACCGAGCTAGCTTAAATCTCTAAAAATTGCCTTAAAAATTTTGTAAGCCTCGTTTTACCAACACACTGTACATCAACAAAAGGGGTTATTGTTTGTTTTTATAAATTAATTGGTGTGCTATGCGTAGACGTTCGTAAGAATGCCAAATTTGGCAAAAACCCGATGAGTTCAAAAAATTTAATCTTCTATTTCTTATTTATGTTCTTATTTTACATCACCTCGCTCGCCATTTTATCATATTTATTTGGTTTTATTTCAGATTAATTGCAAGAAGGTCTCTCTATATCGTCACCTCGACCGATAAGAAAAACCTTAAACCACTTCCAAAGCAGCCCCATATGTTTGTGCAAAGAGAATTTGCTAATTAGGTATTCCATAGTTGGGTCTGAAACTCACATTTTTGTATATTTAAACAAGATCCACTTTGGGGAACAAAATTTGCGTTGAAATTAGATACGCTGTAGATGAATTAAGTGTAATATGATAGTGGTTTATCCCTCACCATTGGTGAAGCGCCACTTTTGTACTTCGAATTAGCTCCCTTTTACCTCACTGGGTGGGCTGGCCTTTGGGCCATGCCAATAGCTCAGATACCTTCTCTGCGCCGAATATAGATTCTGCCCGAGTATTTTGTCTTCTTTCGTCTTCAGGGAGTCCCGCGACGTTACATAAGCATGCATACGCAAAAACTTCGCATTGGGACTTAGGTAGTTGTAGTGCCTCTGTCGTGCCTAAAACCTTCCAAACTATTGCATACCAACCTATATTGTGGTCTACTATACTCGGGCCTTTAAAAAAATTCAGCGTGACCTGTCGGTAGTGTTAAATGAACCCGAAACGAAAGGCCAGCTAACCTGACACTTTTGCTAATTAGTAGGTGAACGCTAGCTAAACTAGGTTAGTATTGGTATTGGAATTTTGATGAATCTCTAAAAAACGGCCTTCTCTGCCTTAATTTTGTTGTAATAATATTTACTGATGGGAACCAATAATTGTGCACCACCGCCGCAAAACGTGTTTCAGCATTTAGCACGGTCGTACAAATAAACTCCTTCCCTCTACAGCTCGGCTTGTAGAAGACTCGATATCCGAGAGCTCTGATCAGACCTGCACAACCACCCATAGGTGGCATTATCATTGCAGCTCAGATTCACAGTATCGTTTTGGTCCAGTCGCGCGAATGCCTACAAGGTGGAGAAAGAATCGTGAACATTAAAACAGGAGAGCAAATGTAGGAATACCCAAAGACGAAGCTCAATAAGCATTGGCCTTGGAGTAAAGGAGGTTTTTTTAGTTGTACATTACTGTAGCGTCCCGAGACTCCCTGAAGACGAAAGAAGACAAAATACTCGGGCAGAATATATATATATTCAGCACGGAGAAGGTGTCTGGGCTATTGGCATGGCCCAAAAGGCCAGCCCACCCAGCGAGGTACAAGGGGGCTAATTCAAAGTACAAAAGTGGCGCCTCACCAATACTGGGGACAAACCACCATCGTATTACATTACGCTACGCAGACATAAGCCATCGCAGTTTGGAGCTACACACCTACTCATAATCTGCCATTTCTTTCGCCCATAGGCGAGACTTGGTTTGCTACTTTGTGCTATTACTGTTAAATATTTTATAAGGAGACAAAGACGCCAAAAATGGATTGGTAAATATGGATGCCTATTTCTCACCTATTGGGGGGTTACAAGACGGTATGCAAAAGAACGCAGTCTGATCACTTTATACAAATTTCTGAAATGTAAAATAACAAAACTGTGTATTTTTAATAATTGCACTTGGCTGGGAACTATAGACAGAAGGAACAGTTTAAAAGCTATTTAATCACATTCTCTTGAGTAAATAGGTAATAGAACAACTTAACAAAATAATTAAATTAAAATTAAAAAAAATAAAGATTAGGCTCATTTTTGCTGTAATAATGGATAGTCCATAATATTAAAGAGCTTTGTTTGTACATTTAGCACTAAAGACCGTGCTTATGAGTTGGCCACAATGTCTTAATTTGAATTTGTGCCTTATGTCAAATGGCCACCGCTGATTTTGTGCAACAGTAATTAAACATCTGCGCTAACCACTGTTTTAGTGATTACATATTTAAGTTACTCTTAGTCGGTGATTCGGGAGTTGGAAAATCATGTCTGCTGCTGCGATTCGTGGTAAGATCTATAACGACTTGTAATTCGACGCCTGAAGGATGATACATTCTATGACAATTTCAGCAGTACAATCGGTGTTGATTTCGTAGGTTTTCAGCGTTTCCTGGGCTAATTTTTGTAGAAAATTCGCACAGTTGACTTGGATGGTCACCATATCAAACTGCAGATTTGGGATACGGCTGGTCAGGAACGTTTTCGAACGATGACGGTCGCATATTACAGAGGAGCCCATGGGATTATTCTAGTCTATGATGTTACCTCTGAGGTAAGTATTCGATTGTTTGGATTCTCAAAATGTCCTGATATTTCTTCCAGTGTTCATTTTTAGCCGTAAGTGGCAAATGTTATGGGATAGTTCTCTGTGAATTTTAAATCCTGGGACGTATAGAGCACTTTTTTGCGTAGTTTAATTTCTTTAAACCGCATCTCTGTGTTCAACAACTTTTAATTGTGCCGCTAATGATCTGCTAATCTGACATCTTATTGCAGTCAAATGGTCCGTGATATTTAAAGACGAATAATGTATCGCTGAGTCTACTATCACTAGTGGTTCCCAGTGTGCTTCCGCCGCAATGCTGTTACTCAAAATGGGGCTCGGCCCTGAGTGGGTTAAAAATGACGACCAGCCCATCTCGCAGCTAACCTATTTGTGGTCCGTTATCAACGATCTATCTTGTAGATCTTGACGAGCTTCATCCACGATGCTGTGCATAGTGCATTTGCGAGGTAGTGCCCAGGGTTGGACGGAGCGCCACAAATTTCAGATTTTATTACCATCAGTAGCCTTTATGGATATGTATTATCCTCTTGCATTCCAGTGCTTCATGTGTGAAATAGCCTTATGTTTTGGATGAATTATAAGTGAAGACTAATTTGCTTTACAGGGAGCGTACTTTGAAAAAAGGGCCCAAGTGATTTCATCATAGCTCCACCATTCCGTTCATTCGATGGCATTCATTCAAAGTCTACCCGTTCAGTCTTTTGAAGTGCTGATAGACAAGGAATTCTATGACTCCCCTCTCTGGCATCTTATGAATTTCAATGAATTTTGCCGATTCTTGGCCCCTGACCAGTACTCCACATCAAGTAATTCGTTAAACGGTTGCATTTCTGAAGGAAACTTCCCTAAATTGTTTTGCTTATGCTTTGCAGTTTCGGTTTGTTTTCAATTCCGACTCCATCATTCGCCTCTGCATATCCGACCCAGTGTTTCTCGGCCGTGTATTTTCACTGATTGCCATATAAGGGAATAAGATATTCAGACTTCTTTCAATGTATTATGACTGAAATGCTGACGAATGTATCATTCGCTTAGGGAGAAATGCGATACGTGTAGTCCACATATCCTGTCATGGCGCTTTTGCTCTAGTTCTCTGTATAATGAAGCAATTTCGGTTAGTTTTTGGGTGGTCCTATACTTGGTTTTTTTGGCTTCCTGTGAGGCAGAGGTAGAATAGTTTCTTGCTGGAGTCTCCTGACTCTACATTGTATTCAATTAGGAAGTAGGGCCGGATATGGCACAATTTTCCACTTCTTTACAACGCCTATTTCAAAACAAAACTCTATTTAGTAGCGAGTGATATTTAGGTCATTTAATTCTGTCATTTCCTGTTTTGATGCTCCTCAACCGTCGATAGGGGTCATTTTCAGTTTCTTGCAACGTAAACGAGTACTCGATCTTCATGCTCTAATCATTTTCTAATGATTTGCCGAAATCACTGTAAGCGGCTTTTTGGGAACTGATTTGATTCATTAGATTCAAGCCATGCTTTACAAGTTGGGTGTGCCTTTGTCTTTTCACCATGACTTGACGGTGCATGCTGTAGAACTTTTGAATTCGAGGAATTGTGCGTTTTACAAGAAGTTTTAAATTCCCATCGAGTTTTAAGGAAGCGGACAAATTGTGCAAGGTAATTATCACTCATCATCTCATCGTTATATGCTATTGCGGTAGGGCTCTTAAGAAAAGAGAGCCTTTGTCACCTATGTTCAAGTTTTTTCTCTTTAGTAAAGGTCTCGTCCCACTAACGTGAGAAACAGTGAGAAGGTTTAAGGTGATTCCATCTTAACTGTGCCTCACCTTATCCTCTTGATGCTACTTCTCCGGCTCTTTGAAACGTTGAAGGGGAGGGGATTGTAGACTTCTGCTTGTTGAGATCTGGTGTGACTCCGTAGGGTTAGCAATTTTGTGCTCACTTTCTATCTCCAGTTATTTTCCCTTGTCTGGGTCAAGGTCTCACCCCGTTACTGTTAGCGCTTTTATTGTCTGCCGGTCTCAACTTGTTTACTTTTATGTGTGAACTACACTGCCTTACTGTGGGCTTTAAATTTGTTGATTTCATTTTCCATTGCCTTGCTACCCACCGTTTTTGTAACTCTTAACACGTTCAATGGTCTGGTTATTTTATACTGCTGCTAAAAGGTTCGTAATCCCATCACTGGTATTGCGTTTTGAGGTGTCTGACAGTATTCACATTAAGCGTCCTTTTAAGTGGGAGACTTGTCAGTAAAGTAGAATGATATTATATGGTGAACATAAGTTTATGCTAATCATGTTTCTTAACAAACGGAGGCGTTTTTAGCAATTGCAATAGCTTTTTTCGTCCATGCGATATCGTCCGGTCCAGGATAATTCCTCCATATCTTGAAGCATAGGGGCCAAAGAATCGTAGAATTCCATCAGTTGGAATCTCGAGACCTTAGAAAGTAGATTGGCCTCCCCTTTTGACGGCTTGGATTGGCTAAAATTGCGCTTTCTAAAAAGTGTTTGTCTGTGGTGTAATCTTTAAACTCATGAGCATAAAATGCAACACCTTTTTTCGTATGTTCCTCTGTGGTTCTCTACAAAATTAGGCTACTCCGTTACGTTAAACGATCGGTGAAACTAAACATCACTTATCCTTTCACCGTTTCTCAGGAGAGTTTCCGCAATCTGAGCTTGTGGATGGAGGAAATCAAACGGCACGCACGTAGTGATGTCATCAAAATCCTCGTCGGGAACAAGTCGGACTTGGAGGATAACCGAAAGATCGCCTACGAGCAAGGCGCGGTAGGCTGATCATTCATTTGATTCAATTCATTAAGTAACCCCTAGTTGCTGGCGATTGATACCATAAGGAACCTTAATCAGTCTTCTCATTCTCAGGGTGATAGCCGAATAGGAGTAATATTTGTGCATCTAGACAAGTAGACTTCCCTCCCATATCGGTGGTCATATCATGGGATTGCTAATTTCCCTTCTCCCTTGAGCAACAAACATTTGCTTTAAAATGGGAGTTCAAGTCGGGCATGGGCTTTTGAGTTTTTAACTTATAAAGTAAGCGAGTATTCTTCAGAGCTCATACAATTTTTCCATGTAGTCTTCTGTTCCACTTAAATGTGTACTTATCCTTGCTTTAAACGATTATTTGCAAAGCTTTGGTAAAAGACAATTTTTGCTAAGGCTGAACCATACCAGGACAGTCTACTGCACTGGTCAAAAGTGGAAAGCTGTTTTGGTTACAAATCTGGGCTACCCTCTCGAAAGGCTAAGTGGTCTTGAATAAATGTGTGCTCACCGTTCCCATAGGTTATGCGTTGATTATGCAGGATCAGGCGCTTTGCGCATTTTATGTTCGTTTGTAAGAAGGAATGATTTCCGTATGCTAGGTAGCACTGAAATGTGTACATAATGTAAATATTTTATTGTGACCGAGTGGGAGCTAAGGTTGATGGTCATGGTAAAACTACTGCCTCACGTTCACTAAGACAACTTTACTCTCTTTCAGGAGTTCGCGAATCTTCATGGTCTGCACTTTTTCGAGACCAGCGCAAAGAGCTCTTCCCAGGTAGAGGAGGCCTTCTTCTCCATGGCCGAACAACTCCTTAGATCCTTCCGGCAGCAGCGTCAACAGCAACTCCAGCAACAACGGTCGGAGTCCATTGTCATTACGCACACGGAACCCGTCAAGGCGAGTTCTCAGTCAACCGGTTATTGCTGTTAATCCTTCGACAATGCCTCCCCTTCTCTTCTTCCATCCTTCCCTTAACCTTAAAGCGTAAAAAATTGGTGGTATCTTTTTCGACTTTGTCGCCTCTTAATGTTTATTAACGAGTGGTTACTTTTTTGGAAATCCTAGCTTCATACCCCGATTCTCCACGTCTTCTGAGGTTAAACTCACCACCACAACGAAGGCCTTTTGTCTCTCAAATAAAGTTGTGTCGTCTAGCTCAGTCCACATATTTGTGGTACGACTTTGTACAATCGGTTAATCATGAAATTGACAAAGAGCACTCGTCGCATTTGCGGTGGCAGTAGCGAACGCGAACAGGATCAATGGGGTGAATTTGTATCACTGAATGATTTCCCGATTTTAATCTGATTTATACTTTCTTGCTTCTTTAAAACTGAAAGAGAGTTCCTCCAGATCTGGTTGCTGCAAATATTGAATGTCGAAATGTTGGGCATTCCTCTACTAATTTTTTGTTGTTTCCTTGTCGGCAACTGTTTAGCAGAATGGGGTCTCAGGCGACTTTGTTGTTTAGGTATTTCTGAGTTAATTTTATATGACCTTGGGGAGCATAATTGCAGCTGCTCCAAGGCTGCTTAATGCCCTCATAAACTCAATTTTCTTCGCTTCTCCCTTTGACTGAATTTTCCGTACAAAATCACATAGGTGGCGTTGAATGTGTTGGTTTTGATAATTCTAAAGCGCTTGCTTTGCAAGTTTCCTGTTCTACAGCTTGTAATTCAGTTTTCTAATGTCTGTCTTTAGTCACTATTTTTTACGGAACTGAATGGCTTGGTTACTCAGTGTCTCGGTTCACTCATGTGGTGTAGCAGCGTCCATTTAAACCACCGACAAAACCTGAACGAGGATACAACATTAGGCCTGTATTGTAGTTTCACGAGACTTCCCTGAAGACAAAAGAAAATATCACACTCCTGCAGGATACGTATTGCCGACGTACAGAAGGTCTTAGGGCTGCTGGCATGGCCTGGAGGCCTGTTGGCCCGGCAAATGTACAGTGGCGGCGCACCTAAGTGACCCCTTTACCAAAACCGAGTATTAGACATCTAACGTATTGCATAGTCTCTCTCCTCTTTTGAGCGTCGTTCCCGGCGCGCCCATTGGTCAACCTCATACACCAGCTATCACAACGTAATCGGTGTTCTAAGAAGGGCGCTCATGAGCCAACCGTGTCAGTCATCGAATTTCCATGCAACTGTGGAGGTACTTGACCGCAACGTCACTGATCACTAGATTCAAAGACAGGAGAATGCTCTGGCTACCACGCGTCTATAGCTAGTCGTAGGAACATTACCCTAAAAGCAGAGTTATGCAACAAAAGACAAGGTTCACGTGATTTTGGGAGGTAGAGTTTCGCGTTTATGCCTCCTTGCACGTTTTCACTTCAAGGCTGCTCAGTCATTATCTATCTGGGTTCTATCCAGCTAGCGAAAAAGTGGTGAAGGTTTTGAGAGTTCGAAAAATCGACATCCTATCACAGTTACAGTAGGCAACTCCATAACGGAACTTTTTCAGATGGTTTGCGGCTTGTATCGCTTTAGTTGTTAATGGTCTTTCCGCAGACCACGGGATCGGAGCAGTTTCTGAACTTAGACGCCACTTTCAGCCCTTCTGTTAGAGGTCGTCACCGAATCTCCCATCCGCGGCATATGCTCTTCTTCCTTCCTGCTAAGGTTTATCACTCAGTAGTAGGAACTAGGTTAGATGTTCTTTAAGATCAAAGCTGCTTTCCTCTGCCACTAATGTAGCGCCCTGAGACTTCTCTGAAGAGGAAAGAAGGTAGTGCTCGGTCAGAATGTGTGTCGACCTAGAGAGAGGCTTGAGGCTATTGGCGTAGCACGGGAGGCCAGTTTACCCGCCGAACTCACAGTGTCGGAGACCTGGAGCGTTTTTTACCAAAACCAAAAGTTAACCAACATATTGCATGTGCCACGATGAGAAGTTCCTTTATTTCTGTATTGGTGATATACCTAGTTGAAGTTAACAGATAAACTTTTTTTTACTTCTACTGATTGTTACGTCTGCCCTGTTTAACTTACCTCTTTGTAGCGAAGAAAGTCACAGTTGCTTGTGTGGTACTAAAGCGCTGTGTAAAGGTTTAACGTAACAAGAGGCTGGAGATAAATTGATTGTTGCAATGGCTTCCCGGTCTTTGATGTGTTAATATTCTTATTATGTCCAAAATCCGGATAAAACTCTTAAGTCTACCCCATTTTTGTTTTTAATCTACCCTTCGCCGTCAAAAACGTCGTTGCAAACATCTCAATTTAGTTCCACTTTGTTTAGTAGATCAATAAACCTGCCTTATTTCTCAACTTCCAAACCAACTGTGCTACTTTAATGACTGCTAATATTTCAAATTTTCTTTACAATCCCCTGAAAGGTAACGAAAGTTGCGTTGGAAATTACTTATTTATCTTATTCAAATAAGTGATAATTCTGCAAACTGCTCGCATTCAATCCAAGCGACGAGTGGCAGAGCTGTGTATGTCAGCGTTCACCTGTCGGTATGCACGTAAACTTGACCTCCAGCGGGGTGGAGTGGTTTGTCATTCCAGCTTACTAACGCATCAGGCAGATATAAGGTGGTCAAATGAGTTCATGGCACCTTAGTAAGACGTGATTGTTTAAATAACCTACGTTATAGCTTATACTCGATTCCAATGGCGAACGTTAACTTTGTAAGACGTTTTGTCTCTAGGAGCAATCCTTTCTAGTTCCAGTCACCCCTGTTTCTATCCTAGCCACGTTTTCTGGCTGAATATTCTACGTGTGATTGCTTAAGGCCTGGAAAAAGTGGCAGCCGTCACTTGGAGGCATTGTCTCCCTCCTAACCTGAAGTGCAAATCCTCCTACGGGAAGGTTTTGTGGTTTAAGGTCTTGCGTTTTCATGTACTACCAGTACTTTCTTCTGTCTATGAAGGCATTTTTCACCCCTCCAAATTGAATTGAGTAAATAGGCCTCAGTCGCAACTATTTAACCTTGAGCAATAAATTCTTGGTGCACAATTTTGTCTACAATGTACTACACAAAGCAAGCAAAGTGGCGCACCAGATGTGTGGCAACCCTTTCCAGTCACACGTCAGTCAGTCGGACCAGCAAACAATCTGAAATGAATGTCGGGTTTCTTACTAAAGTACGTGGAAGAAGTGGGGCATGTGGTTGGGACTCATTTGCATTACCTTCCAAGGCTTTTCAGCTGATATAGACGTAAACAAATTGCTTCATTTGCACAACCTCTTCTGTAATGTCGGAAGCGCGTTTAGGCTTGTAAAATGGGAAATCTCGAATCACATCAGGTTCAACTGATGTTTGCTAAGAGTTCAAGGAATGAGGAAAGTAGTGGAGATTCCGAGTAAAAAGTACCGCACTGTACCCTTAAAAATGCCTGTATGTGCAATTCCCTGCAAGGGCGGGCTGTGTCGAGAACCGCATCAACTCCTTTGGCCGCCTGACGGCAGATGTAGAACGTGGGTCGTCATTTTTCGATTACTTCGTTAGCCAGTGGCACATAGCCTAAAGGACACTACCGAACCCCTTCAAAAGTCCAGGAGCTTGCCATCGGAATGACATTTTTCATTTCTGTGTTACGTCTTTGGATTCGATCAGCAGTGCATGGAATAGCGAGTTCCATAGAAAGCGTTCATTTTTCCTGTGATTTTGTCCTATTTTGAACTTTACAGCACTTATCGGTGCTTCTTTGCACTACCCGTGGGACAGGAATAGAAGTAATGGGATTTTTTAACAAAGTGTGAATGCCGTTGACTTTTTCGTTAGTTGTGCGGTAGTATTATGAACCTTATGTGTAACCACATACACACAAGGGTTATTCATGCCTGCTCCCCATCTCCTGCGATCTCATCCTGAGGACTCAAGGTAAAGACTTTAAGGTAGAGATCTTTACTGTCGCTGTTCGAGGTATCATGCATGCATATCTTTGGAGTACACGAGGTGTCTAAACTCCTTCCTAGGTGACCTTGGAGGTATGTAAGACATTGGCACACATAAATTGCGTCTTAATCAACTATTGGCCAATCAAAAGGAGCCAACGGGAACAAAAGGTGCAAATTTTCTTAGAGGAAATCTAAGCTTTTAAAATCAAGGCTTTCAGAAGCTCGAAATATGCTGTAAACATTCCCAGAGAAAGGTTGAATCCGCAAATTACATCTGTTTGCCTAAAGGTACTCATTTCTTTTACATTCTCATCTTCCCCAGAAGGTCATAAGTTTTCTTGACTTGGTTTAATCAAATTGAGGTGCTTTAGGCTTCCTAAAACGCAATTCTACCAAACATTCTTGAAAACTCAACTAAAGACTATTTAGCTAAATTACAATCAGCGTCCATATGCCCTCTGAAGTGGCCACATTCATCTCGTGCTTTGACTGGAGTATTGTATAACCTTCTGCTAGGTGGCAGTGTCAGTTTTTCTGTTGGTTCTTTGGCTGAACTGTATTTGCCCAAATACCTGTTTGACTGGTTCACGATCTTTTGGAGCCAACTGTCTCCAACTCCCATTATCATTGTTTCTTTTATTTTGTATTCTCCAAGTCAGTTATAGCTTCATATGATAAATCTTCGAATCACTCCTGTTACGTTCCAGAATTAATGGTTTCAATAAATTTGGATGTGTTGGAAGGCGTAGAATCCCCTGTAAACATTACCCTATCCTGATTGGCTCCTTTGCAATTCCTTGGTTCAATTGCTCTCTCCAGCTTCCTGGCTCGTTTTTTTACGGACAAAGTTACTCCTTAATTTTCCGATTATTTTGAGGACTTAGTTAACATGCTCGCTATCGGAATCTAGGCGAAAACCGACCATAACAGCGTCGATGTTTTAAATTGTTCTTGCCATTGATACAGTTGATTAATTCACTTGTCACTGGAAAACTGTAAACATTATTGTCTCAGGCTGAGAATCTTCTGCGTTTGTGTTATCATTTTGAATCTAACTAAGTTGATTGCGATAAGAATCGGTGCCTCGGACAGCAAGAACAACAACAGCAACACATCACATATCTGCGGTAGCGGGTTGAGATGAGAAAACTGGGAAGTCACGCAATATGTCAACCCGGCAGCTAGCGTATCAAGGAAATTTCCACCAGCCATGGCCATTCTACTAGTCAGTAGTAGTCGTCAAGTCTCCGTCAATTGCATTTTTCCAAGCTATGACGTGGTGGAGCGATGCTTGTCCTCATGGGCTGTCAACAGCGCGGTTTCGGTCGTCATGCTCTTGGTATGGTGCTCCGACCATGCTCATAGTCGTCCCCAGCCATTCTGTGCGTTTACGATGAATTTCGGCGTCCAATAGCTGTTTTAAAGAGCTCATTGCTTTTCAAGAATCCAGCAAACCTTCAAACGATTTGTACTTTCTTCTTATCGAGGTGAAAGGTCTTACCCCCCCCCTTCCCCTGGCTTATTGTTTTATCTGTCCCACATGCACGTATCGTCGGCGATTAATACCATCGGAGTTGGACCAGCGTTAAATGTGAATCATTGAATCCACTTGATTGGTTATCTATAGGCGTGACGCCAGTGAATCGGTGCTAGAGACAGTTAAAAATAAAGAATGCCAAAAAGTGGCCTCATTAGGTGCAGCGGGACACTTCTATTTTTTAGTTTGTAAGATTTTATTCAACACCGAACTCCAGACTGTGAGTATGATGATCGAACGAACATTGCACAGTAGCCCGTCAGTCGGTTGCCCTAAGATGACATTACTACTAGAATTTGGCACATGAATCTATCGCCTTGGTGCGCCCTCAGCCAAGGACCGAATTCTTCCGCCTTAAAGGCTCTGCCGTTCTGATTGGTAGAAAACCAACCAATTGGAAGAGGGGACGAGACCCCTAACACACGTACGTATTCATCCGGGTACCCTCAGAAGTCTACAACACTAAAACCATCCAACATAGCTCTCAAAGATAGCTCGAACACCACCTGGGACCCAAAATTGTGATTTTAACTGCTTTCACAGGCCACAGATAAGCCAATTAGTGTCCCACGTACTGACCCACCCCTGGGCTATTAAGGCGCCACAGGTCATTCTGAAAGCTTACAACTCCTTCCTAATCGGCAAAAACGGCTTAATCGCCATAATTACCCAAAAGTCAACCAACCGATGCACTCGCACACGTGTGTTGATTTATTCATTTATTTATATATATATATAGAGTAGAATCCAGCTCAGTGGAACGCAGTTGGCAGCTTTGGTGGTGGTGACGTGGGCAAGGGGACCGGGAAGGAGGGGAGGGGAGGCAGGAGTGTCGGTGGGGAAGGGGGGGCTCCGGGACGCGTGCACGCACTTTTCTGTCCCCTTCTTCTTCTTTTTCCTCTTCACATCAGCACATGCACGAGCGAACGTGCATCCTGTGCGTCACATTCATGCCTATATATACCCTCATTTGCCCGTAAGAACACCTTGTTTTTTTTGCAGGAGTTGGCAATAAAAACAGTCATTTGGGGAGAAACAAAAACAAGAAAATGGTGGGGAAGTGATGATTGTCTGTATAAAAAATACCCATGTACTAGTAGGTGATTGACTGAGTGAGTGATTGATTGGATGGTTCAAGTAATGGCAAGATTCATAGCCCGGAGCTGGATACAATGCGGGTCCATAAAACAAAACGGCTACTGATGTTGTTGTTAGTAGTGGCGACCTTTTAATGAATGATCGGCAGTGCGTACAGATGGCGGTGACGACAGTGGCTGCGACTCATGAACAAACAAAATAATAATAGTTGTAGTAGTAATAACAATAATTAATTAATAATAAACGGCACGTGTTTAGGAGAGGGCCTATGTACAGTTTAATACCCTGCTAAAGGAGACTGGCAAGAAGAGGAAAAGAAAGCACGATATTTTCGTGTGTGTGCACTGGGTTTGTTTGTTGTTCTACTGGGACTGCGAGGAAAAGTGGACGGCGAATCCAATTTCATTTGCAGCAGAAGTCGGCTGCTGTGTTCTTTCATCATCTCGCATCACTGATAAGTCTCTAACCGCTGCATCAGCTCCATAGAATGCATTAGCTGCTGCTGAATAGTTGTTTTCTGCGTTACCTCCGCCATCATTTGCTGTCGGATTCCCAGCGTTAGCGTAGGTTACACGATAGTTCGGTGGAGTCGTCCCATTTCTAGAGATATCATCTTCACGGTCTTCACCACCTCCGTTGGCTGATCTACGACGATAAGCGCTCTCGCTGTCCTCCTGCACTGCCTGTGAAGCTCGCGGTGATTGAGTATCCGCTCGGAAGTCTCTTTCTCTGTTTGTCGTGGATGAAGACTGCGATATATGACGCAGGCGTTCCACCACCTCTTCGTTCGTCCCCTCCTCCTGTCTCTCCCGCACTGGATTCGGTGGAAATCCACTCAACAGCGCCTCTATCCGGATATCTCTTCCAGGTTTTCCATCAATTCCCTGACTGACAGAGTTCCTCTGCCAAAACTTAGCTAATTTATCAACCACATGTTCCATCGAATTCTCTGTCGGTGGCATCTGCGGTGGAACCATATGCTGTTGATACTGTGCCTCTGCCGTGGCTGATCTTCTGAGATACTCCGTCTCGAAGGGCTGTTGTGGATGGTGGTGATGATGCTGATGATGGTGATTGTACCCTCCCACGCGTTCATCCGGGTCGGGCTTGAGTCGTTTTGCGGCTGAGTGTGGCGTCCAGAGATTAGGAGCGCCCGGTTCATCACCGGTTATGCTGACTCCCCCCGCACCATCTTCCTGACCATCCATAGGAATAGGAGTTACTGGACCCTGTTCCCAAGCATTGGAATTAACATCCTTCCCATCCTCACCTATTGCCTTCCCTCCATCCCGACTTTTACCACTTCCAATGGCCTGTGGTGAATGCCCGAAAGGTCTCATCTGCTGCTGCTGTTGCTGCGGTAACGGAGGAGGTGGCTGAAACTGTGGTGGGGGTGGTGGTTGCATTGAAGGCGGTTGAGGTGGAACTGTATGCTCTAGAGCTATCTGTTGATGTGCCATTGGCGGAGGCGGTGGTGGAGGTGCCTGAAAGTCCATCATCTTTCGTCCAGCATCTAATGGTGTCGGAGGAAACCTTGGCATTTGACGATCCGTAGAGGTACGTCCAAGAAACGATGGCATTTGATTGGAGTAGGGCGAGGTCGCGGCAAGCATCTGATGTTGTTGGTAGGTGTCAGGGAAGCCAGACGGGGTAGAATGACCTCCTGGATGAGTTCCATTACCATGAAGAGTCTGTTGGTGACCTTTCTGGGCTACTGCGAGTTGTCCTTGCAGGCCGGTTGGAAGGTGGTGGAGTAGATGGCTTGTATCATGACCTGTCAGGCCGCTAACACTTCCAGGTCCCATCGGAGACATAATAGAGGCAGCTGCAGCCACTGCTGCTCTTTGAAGATTCTGTAGATCCTGTGGATGCCCGATTCTTTGTTGAAGCTCCTCGTGAAGACTCTGTTCTGTCACTGGAGCCATGGATCTACCGCTCATTCCAGTGTGATGACTCGTCATGAACCCACTGAGGGCTCCCAGGGCACCGGCCGAGGTATTCAACGCGCCAAATCGACTGACATTAGCATTTGTGACAGCCTCCTTATGACGCTCCATGTGTTTAGCCAGGTACGTCTCCGAGTTATAGCTTTTTGAACACGCCGGACAGACAAGCACCTTGGCGTATCTGTTACCCGAATGCTTTGCTTGAACATGGACGTCCAATTCCTCCTTGGTATCATACGACATGAAGCAGTTCTCACAACGATGAGGTTTTCCCTTCATGTGCTGACGTTGATGCGACTGCAGATTTGACATCTGTGTGAAGCTCTTGAAGCACGTGGCGCATCTAGTCAGGAAAAACGCCACATTATTGCCTACTTGCAAAGTATAAGTAGACTTTGTAGGTACATTTACACTGCCTTGTGTCACGGTGGGACAAGTGAACTAGGCGCAACACTTCCAGTGGTTTTTGCAAACGGCAACGGTCTGTGTACGATCAAGAAGCGATGTTTTAGCACCAATATTGTATTGGTTAGCAAAACTGGTTAGAGCAGCTAGGATTAACTCAGCCCTTCTAGAAAAGTTTGCGTTCTAGTCCTTCCAAAGTTTTATGGCCGGAAAGCTGTTTCCGAATGTGCTTTTTGACAAGGTTAAAGAGGAAAGAATATCATAGTGTTATTTCTGCAACAACAGCAGCACGCCAGTTCCAGCGCAAGCATGCCTGCCCCAGTTTAGGTCCATTAGTGGAGCGAAGCCAAAAAGAGGGAGCGCGCTCTTGTTTGAGGTTAAAAGTACGCCGCTAGTCCGAATGACCTTAAGACCAACCAATAGCGGTGCTAGCGTGAGTCAGCAGCTTGAAAGGAGAGCAGAATGCCTATTTTGCTCGCAGTCAATCAGGCACTCAATGACGAATGGAAACAACAACAAGGGTAGCTCGAAGGAACGGACAAAACAAAGTTACCTAGAAGTGGAGGAGAAGGAGGAGGAAAAGGAGCTTTCGAATGCTCATTAATCACCCGGCAAAGCCTGCCAGCTAGCGACCACCTGCACACACGTAGTCCGTGTCGATTTTTCGACTGTTCTCAATCTCCTAAGTCTTCTAATAGCGGTGGTAGCAGCGGTAGTCCCTCCCACTTCTTTCTCCTAGCCCCTTTCTCTCGTAAATTCACGCCACCTGTGTGCAGAGAACGAATGTGGTTGCAGGAGCGCACATACGCACGCACACGCAACAACTTTATGAACAACCTAGTAAACACGAAAACACGCATACAGGCTTTATCTCAATCTCTACCTCCCTTGCTCCACATATTGAGTGAGGCTAGAGTCGTGAAAGTGAGAAAATTTGTTGGCGTATGGAGAGCAAATATATATATGTATATCGCCTTGCTAAGTGGTAGTGGTGATGGTGCTCCCTTTTTGTTCTATTTCCATCCCTTGGCCACCCATTAGCTGGACAGTATAGTTGGCGAGATAATCGATGCTGAAATAGTTGGGCCTGGAGTCTAATGGAATGTCCCATTTTTATTAAGTGGCCTAATTAGACCAGAATAAAAGTACACACACTCTCTCTCATCTCCCCCATTTAAAGTGGCAATGTGTTCAACTTCAACCGCTGATTCTGCCTGCGAGATATTTGCCCGCATGGAGGTGGACAGCGTTCACGAGCCCATTATCCACTACTCCTTTACTCGGTGGTGATCAAAGCTTTGGACATCCACAAGGGTTAACCGTTTCAATTTTTGGTTTTAATTAAAATTCAAATGTAGCGAATTTTGAGTTAGGACTTGTCACAGTCTATCTGCATTTTATCTGGGAAATCGGTACATTTAAACAGTCTTCAAGGTAATTGGCTTTACTAAAAGGATAAAATCACGACTTTTAGAAAATGTGCGCGCTCTATTCTTAGACCTTCTTTGGGCTTCCTGCGGTTTGTGCTCATTTGATCGCATAATCAATATCCTCTGACACCTCTTGATTACAGTCCAAGAGTATCAGTTAGTTTCTCTGGCGGTTTCTTCGTTATCTGCTGCAATATGCCGGTAGTTGGTTAATTTTTCGAACACTTTTCTATGGCCACGCATTCAGATCAGAGCTTGAAATCACTCAACGTCAGAAAAGTATTGGCCTACGCAGAGTTTGGGAATTGAGACAAACAATTGGCAAAACATCGCCTTTTTGTCGATAACTTAAATCACAGTTTATAAATCTAAAACTTCGGCGCTTCTGGTGTGAATTTTCATTTGAGTCGGGTTCAGTTTAAAATTGAGAACGATGCGTCTCCCAATTTCTTAGGCGTAGGCATTTTCCTTTTGATTAACAATGGACTACGATAATTTTGGTCTTTCCAAGAGGCCGACTCACAATTTAATGCGGTAGATTAAGGAAACTAATACGTTAGTTGTTTGTTATGAGGCAGAAATATTTTGACGATTAAATTCTGGAATTACATAGAAGTGTCGTTTTTTCCACTAATCTCAGTTGCTCAATTGTAGCCTGCCTCTAGAGCTACGGCGGTAATTTAAATAGTTTATTCAGAAAACCAACGATTTTGTGCTTTTTTAGTAAAAATGTTCTTGTTTAAATCCGAAAGATTCAATCAAAACGGTATCGACTTTGTACCCACCGCACTTTATGGCAGAAAAATCAATATTTTTCGGTGGGCACGCGTTTCGACCGAAGACCGGAATTACCAGTTAAAAGATTTTGATTTTCTTGAGGTAGTTCATCAATAGCTGATTAATTACGAAGTCAATGCTACATGGTATTCGTCTTGCGATCAAAACCCACTAGGTACTATTTTTGATTAGGCGAAAAAAGGCCAATTTTTTTTCCTTTTCTATATTTACTTCTCCCTCAACCTCTCCCAGTTGCCTTGCGTGGAGTGGCATGCCATCAAGCTAATTAATAAGAATAATATTTGAGACGACAGCAAGCACATCTCAATTTCAATTTACGCTACAACGCCGGAGAGAGATCTCAACGGAGCGTTATAGTGGCAGAAGAAGGCCAAAACACCAAGTCGAGAGGGGGCGAAAGGGAGAGAGAGAGGTATCCGGTGAGCCTTAAATGGACGCCGTAAAGTATCTGCGATTGAGAAATTTTAGCCCTGCTAAACCGCAGCACTTATCCATGCGCGTTTCTTTCGTCTGCATTAACCTAGAGGTGTTTCCGTTCGTGTGCATATCCATACCCACACCCGTAAACACATACATACACACACACAAATCTGTGTGTCTAACCGAAATTGTCAAGCCATCAAAATGCCGACACAAATGGGTTGGCGGTGGTGCTTGTACAGCGTTTTGAAAAGGGCAATTTTCACTCTACATCTCCTTCTCTCTCTCTGCAGGCTGCGGCTCTAATTATAGTCCACTTAGCGGGACTAGCGAAAAAGGAGGCGAGGGAAATGAGGCAAGCCAGCGGCAGCACAAAAACAGGATAGATGCACATGGATGGGGTATGGTAATAAAGCGAGGAAAGGTAGTACGAAAGCACAGCTAAAGTACACATTTTTGCAGGTCCTTGCTCATTATCTTCAACTGCACCCACTGTGACCTTGGGCTGACCAATGAAAATCGGACCAGGTATTTTGGACGACAAAAGGGGGGAAGCATTTCAAACACATTGGGTGCCACTTTGACCACATCAAAAGGTGGCCGATTTCACAGCGGTGACTGTGACATGAAAGGGAATAATATACTTACACAAAAATTGTACTGCGGAATGGGTGTGTGTGAAATGGGCAAAGTGAAGGGGAAGCTTGCTCTATTCAGCTCTCCTCGCCTCTTTCAAAGCAAGGGGAAAAAAGAGGAGGAGAGAGGGGTGGAGAAAGGGGCGGTGGAAGGGTAGGAGGAGCAGGCCTGCAGGCGGCACCAAACTTCCGGTTTAGAACAATCAAATCAAATCAAGTCAACACCGCGTGTGTGCAAAACTACGCATTCTACTAGTGGCTTGAAAATTTAGAAGAAAATCACACTTTAGAGGCAGTGTAAATGTATCCCTCATCAATCGCGCAGCTAAAAAGATTGACTTGGAATGCGATCTTTATACTCCTACTACTTCATCTTTGGAGTGAAGATATCGCGGTCGTTTCATCTCGTCAACTTTATCAGGGTCTCAGTTTGCACACGTGGATAAAAGAAACAAGCTGTAGTGAATCTTGGTCTTTAAATACTACGATTCGTCGCATTATTGTAGAGAAAGGAGATGATGAATTGCGGATATTTATTATTTCCGGCTTTCAACACTCATTCATCCGGGCTGGATGGCTATCACGGTGACGTGTAACTACCTTTTCAAAACTACTACCAATTTAAGTAGGATATGATTGGATAGTAAGCACACATTTGCGCCTAGTAGTAACTGTTCTACTACTAGTAGTGGTTTTTTTAAAAAGTTGGACATCATTTGCATCTTCAGAAATGCTGCGGAAACGTCCTTCTTCCCTGCCTCCATCTAAAACATGGGTTAATAACGCTTAACCTTGTTTTGGACTCATTTTGACTCACTCCTCGTTACAGTTGTGTAATGCCGATTCTTTGAATCTCTCTTATCCGTAGTTCAACCGTTGAATTTATGTGGATTGCCTGCACATATTCGTAGCCTCTCTGACACGAGCAACAACTTAATTGAAGAGAGTACTACCTTTTCTCCCTACGCTCATCCATACCATGCAGATATTTAATTTGGGATGTCGAAATTGTAAGTGGGTGAATGGAGAGAGGATGGATGCTTGCACTTCCCTCCATCAAACCGCTTTCGGCTCACTAATATTATCTACCAACTTCATCATTTTAACAACCCAAATGAAGAGTACTAAAGTTGTACCGCTAGAAGGCATCCAAGCTGCTGCGGCAAGTTAAAAAAGTTTTCCGATTACGAAATAAGGAAATACACATCCTCAAACATGCACTCGAGACAAATCGGCTGTCACAAGCTTAACGGTCAATGCGTGACCCTAAAATAGACAAGGATTTGAAGTTTCAAATCGCCAAAGCTTCTACGGCTTCGAAATGCGTGATCGCAGACATGATAAATTGTAACGACTAGAGGAAGTCAGGAAACACTGTCATAGCCACTAAAATAAGGAGAGTCTTACGGTTCGTGCCACTAAGAGATCTTCTTTTCGCCCCCTTTTCGTTTTCACAACAGGCTACCATACTGTCTACTATCCAGTTGACCAAATAGAAATTTCAAATCCATACCAGGGAGGCCTTTTCCTTTCCACATCTAAAAGGAGCGATTTTATGGCTCTAGCTCGCCCATAACAAAGGTAACAACAACAAGCGAAAATAAATGTGCTGACTCTGATTAAACACTGCACACACACACGCAGCCTTCACTTGCGTACTTTTGAGAGGAATATTTAAAATTCCACCTTCGTATACTTCCCTCTTGCTCGCTTTCCTGATTTTGCATCCAACGGTACCTGGTAAATAACATTCTTTAAATCTGAAATTGCAGTACATCCGACGCGCTTAAAGTCCTGGTGAATTGCCTTCATCCTTGACCGGTGGTGACATCATTACGGCAGTGTATAAATTCCATTAAGCTACGCAGAAATTTGAAGTCAGAAGCTTGTGATAGGCGCACAATACTGCGTTGAATTAATTGATAGTAAATAAAAAGGAGGGTGGTGTGGTTCTGATTCGACATTGACAATTGCACCATCAAAATGACCAAAGGAGTTACTGCTAAAAAAGGTAAAGTTAGACTCTTTGCAGACCGAGGACATCCTGCCTACTTACGATTTCAAGAGACAGCGTCACCCGGTTCTGAAATGTGTCAACCTGTATTGTCTATTCCGAGAATCATCGAATCCAGGTTCCAGTGCTTTTAAAACAAAAGTTCAGACATCCTAATTAAGTGCTTGCCTAAAGAAATCTTACATAAAAGCATGATCCTGTAAAATTATATCTATTAAGTAGGTTTAAACAAAAAGTCCTTATAATTAATTGGCACTGGGAGCAACGTGGATCATCAATGAAGGTGTAAAGTTTTTTGTGGTTAAGTGTAACCCCCCCCCCTCCTCCTCCACATGAACTCGTTGCTCTCCCTATTTAAACCCCCTGGGTCATCAAGTTGGAAGCATTGTTGAGATGGTTATCGGGTAGCATGCCTGGTACCAAAAAAACTCATTTCTGCTGTCAAGGTCGTGGTGGGTCCCATGACTAAGGATCATAAAAGGGATAATCGGGTTATTATAACCGTAAAATCAAACTGCCCAAAAGCCTAAATAGGTAAACGAACATCATATTTGCAGTCGGTTGATTCCCGCCACCTAGTTTACCTGGAATTCGTTGGCCTTAACTATTAGAAATGCAATGGCCGACAACTCGGTCGCAGAAACTGACTTAATCCCCTGAAGATCGCTAACAATTGTTTACGTTGATCAACCACAACAAGGTCATCACACTGTTTGGGTCATAGAAGAACACATTTGCAAAAACAGGGTGTCATTGAGATGACACTCCTATGGATGTTGTGATGGACATGATATGAAATCATTTGTTTGCAGGAGTAAACTTAGCAACGCATAGATAGTTACTTCATTCTTACATTGTCAGAAGAAAACAAAATTCCCAGGCTCTACTGCACTGGCAAAGAGGCGTTTAAAACATCAAGACCTTGTTGATTTTTCTTGACCATGACCATGACCACCATGAATGAGGGCTAAGCTGTTGAAGTAAGACTGTAAAGATTGCTAATAAATGTCCATTTTAGCTAATCCATTGAAATCCACAAATACTACTGTAGTGAAAAGCAAGTATGTAATTTGATACCTTTTGTTACCTGAACAGAAGTAGATCACATAGTTGCAACACTCGAGGCAACAAGGACTTCATGTACGATACCATAATCTCGTAGCTATTCGAGGTCGGAGATGGTATGATTAACTTGAACAGTGGCCATGAACATATGATTCTCCAGCACGCTAAGGTAAAGAATTCCTAACATCTTATTAAAGATATAAACAGGCTTAGCCACCATAACAAAAGATTGCTCATTTATGCCGCTATTAAGGATGCTAAGGTAGGCGTGATGACTTTTTAGTCGTAGCCATGATTGCTTCGACTGTCTACAAATTCTTCTAGTGTTACTGAAGTGGTAAAAGTGTGTCGGCAGTAACAAGGAATAAGTATTCTGATCGCAGAGCCCAGCTACTGAAATTATAAATAAGTAGGTACTCAAACTTTTATATTCCGTAATTATTAAAGCTTCAACGTCACAACTAATAAAGAATTTGGTCATGTTAATCTGTGAAGGTGTTCACGTTAGGCGGCACATGCTGCTGAAATGACAAGGACACATTCACAACAAGGACGGTCCTCCAGTTTTTTGCTAATGTGACCACCTCTAAGGCTCGCGTTAATGCGGGTCACATGATTGAAGTACATAACGGAATCGTGTGACCAAGTTGAGCAATTGCAGTGACAAAAAATGGCTAGAATTTACTACTGAAACACTGTGGAGGGGTGAGTAAAGTTTATGTGGTTCCAGAACTATTGCAGAAGTCGCAAATGGGTTTCAACAAGGTCTACATTTAGTACTGATAAGGACAACCAATTGGTCTTTGTAGCTGTTGAGGAGCCGCGGCTGACACAAATGCAATTCACTCGCTCTCACGACCCAACTCACTTACGTAGGGATCACTAGCTGTTCTACGTTTTAGTAAACATCTAACCTCACTTAGGTAATCCCGCCTCCATTTCTTTGTTTCACTTAAGGGTGAAGGCAATATATCGGCAAAGCTGTGATGGTGCTATCACTGCTGTGGTGGTGGTAGTGGTGGCAGAGGTGGTGATGATGGCTGCATGATTGCGCGGCAATACACTACCACCACTACTCTGCTACCATTTAGCAATTGCAGAGTGGGGAGGGGGCGAGGAGGAGAGAGGACGGAAAACGAGAATGAAGCATCATGCACACGCAGATACTCTTGACAGGCACACACACGGAAATGCCGCACTGTCATAGCAACCCTCATGCGACAGTATTAATGCTTTTTCAGGGCCACTTTGCAGCCGCCGTCGCTGCTGCCGTTATACCGCTCTCAAATACACAAACGTCCGCCCGAATGGTCTCATATGTTCTGAGTCCGATAGACCCTTTCGACCTCCGTAGACAGCAAGTAAGTGCGTGACTTACTTGTAAGGCTTCTCGCCCGTATGGATCCTCTCATGCTGCTGCACGTGGCTCAACTGGGTGAATTTGCGGTCGCAATAACGACAGACGTAGGGCTTGATGCCGCTGTGAATGCGACGATGTTGGGAGAGGTAGGCACAAGTGGAGAACTGGCGTCCGCACTGATCGCAGCGGTAGGGTCGCGGGTCCTGCTTGTGTGTCGTTGAGTTGTGCGTTGATAGGTCCTGACGCGAGAAACACACCTGAAGAAAAGGAGTCAAGGACCTAACTCTATTCAGTTTATAATTGAAGAAACAAGGGCTAATGATTTACATGGCGAAGATAAACTCCTGTTCGGGAACTAAGTATGACGTTACTTGGGAGACATTCTTGACACCTATGGCTTTTCGCAAAGAGTACAGTCACTGTTATTGACACTTCATAATATGGGTAATTTCAGACGAGTCATTTAGTTATCCCTGGAACACCTAAAAGCTATTGCCTTTGAAATTTCGTAGGAGAAGAACCTACAAGAAATTTTTAATTTCCAAATCTCAATGGTGGCCGTTAACGCTAACCGAAAAATTACTGATCACTGTGTCATATTTGAAGATGTGGTATCTTTTAGTACTACACGAAATTGGACGTAACTGGGGAAGGGAATGGAGGGGAAATCGACTATTTTAAAAGTTGTTTTATGGAATTCGAGTACCCCAGGTGACACTATTCTTCCATTTCTTCTGTAGGCTATTAATTGAGCCTCTTCCAGATCCGCGCACCCTCGAACGTCGTCTGCGATCAACTTTGGCGTTACACTAGCTGTCGTTGGGGAGGAAATGCCTTGCGCTTTCCCCTTTTTGAGTTGAATATGTGCTTTTAAGAAGACAACCGAACGGATGAACCGTGAAAGGGGCAGAAAAGAGGTCGTGCCGATAGATGACTAAATTGATAATTTGCAATTGAGTCAACATCAAAGCAGGACAGAAATGGAATCAGAGCTAACTATACCAACTACTTCTGTATTTTCAATAATAAAAGTAGGATTTCCCCTCAGGCTAAAAGGAGCTGATAGAGAAGGTAGGAGCATTAGAGCAGCAACTAATCTGAAATCGGGATGTAAACCCAGGGGAAACATTTTATAGGTATGCACGCATGCACAATTCTACGCTTTCGCTGTAGAACATGGCATGGCCTTTGATATTACTCTCAGCTAAATTCTTGCATTAAGACAATAAACGTGGACCTATCATAGTCCACGAAGTGTCTGGATTTTGGTGGAATTGAAGAGGTCGTTGGGGTGAAGAACCAACGCATGGTCCTTGAACCTCTCTAGCGACTACCACCCAATTGGGAACGACGCCCAAAATAAGATTCAGAGATCTGACATACTGACCCGGACAGGTAATTTTAATTCTCAAATGGTTCGAAAAATACGTTTTCAAAGGAGAATGGACGGCACTTATGCACTATGACACACACTTGTCATCCTTTTAACGTCTCTATGATATAAGCATCTTTACTTCCGTCTAATAAGAGTGCAACAGATGAATCCTGCAGAGTTCCACAAAATATATCATCAATGCTCCCTCAAGAGTGAATTTGGTGCACGACTCCAGAAGTGTGATAAACGAAAGCGCCAAATTTGACGCTGGGGATTACAATAGGTAGCTAATTTCTCCCACCTCCGATGCTACGATCTCCATGCCAGCGACTGCTAACCTTTCCATGTCTTCATCGTCAACACAAGGCCATGCAAAGACGTTTCACACTCACATGTATATCTCAAATGAGTCCTCTCGCACATACAAATGCAGTTCTTGTTGATAGTTGTTTATATCTCTGGCTGTCTAAATATTTATTCAAACACTTAAAAAGTATGGAAACGCTGCCTGCTTTTGCATGTCTTTTTTCGCTTTAATTCTTTTTTTCTCCACGTTCACCTACACTATGCGATAAACACACGCAGATGCGGCGCACACACACACAAGCTCTCGTTCGATTGACAGGCCACAAATCGTAGGCAACCTTGAGCCTCCATGCTGATTGGTGAGGGGGAGTGTGTGCACTGAAAAAGTGCAAAATGGTACGACGTCAATAGCCAAGCGAACGTGTTTTCGTGTGTGTGTGTGTATGTGTGTGCGTGAAAATTGCTGATAGAACAATGAAGTGAAGAGCAAGAAATTCGTTGACGTGTTAAAACTCGTCAAAGTGCTTTCTGTTTGACAAGTAGTGATCAATGGATTAACACGTTCGTTACCAGCGTTCACATTTGTGATAAATGGTGACATTAAATCATGCTGCAGACAGGTCTGCTTTTAGAATAACAATGTGCTGAACATTCTTGGTTTAAGGATGGTGACACTTGTTTACTTCTGGAGCATCAGTTGGATAGGCCAAGGGAATTGATGGAAGTTAAGCATAAAACAGTCAACCTTCCTTTGCCACTTGACAGCGATCATGTTTAGATGTGGCGTTCATGATAGGTCTACCAGATTCAGAAATAATTAGCGTGAGATCTTACTTTAATTGCACTGGTGTTACCATTCCCTTGTCCGTTTAGAATTCTACAGAAACAAAATACATCACATTTTCTCAAATAGTACAGCAATACACTGACAACTGCGTTTTACTCACTACGTCCAAACTATTGAAATTCGGCCGAATCGTACGTTGGCCGACAGTCTTGGCACCAAGTTATTTTAATCCTTACCATTACATTCGGATGAAAATGAATCTTAAATGATGAGCTGAAAGTAGCAGCTGCCGTGTTTCAATCTACCTTCGAATTCATGGGAGTCAGCAGCAGTGGTAGTGCAAAATGACGGCGAGGTTACTATTTCAGTGATGCGTAAAATTGAGCCTTTGCTTTGCTGTCATGGGATAAAGGTGAACTGTTCATTCATACAAATGATTGGAGGTCGGAATTTTGTAAAGGCGCCAATCCTACCTTCTTATCGCCCTTTCTTTTTTGGAAAACTGCTTTTTAAAACAAAAGCTGCTTCCAAAGTCGCTTGTACAAATGGGCTTTGTAATCACTGTTCTGTCTCAAGTGGACTCTCTCACGCCCTTTAAATTACCTTGTCAATCCCTAATAGTACAGCACCTGCTATCCTACCCGTAAGTGATTCGGAATGTAAGTATTCCACATTTAGTAACTCTTATAAACTGGGGCAAATGTCTACCACTTGAGGTATGAGCGATTCCTACCGAAACAAAAATAGGTACGATGTCGGAGAGGATAGTCCATATGAAACGCACGCGACCACTCAAAAGAACACGAAATATGAGTTTCCATATTCCCTGAAATTTCGTATAATCGACACGTGATACGAAACCAAACCATTTTTTGCGGGCTAATCTCCAGCCCCCCTTAAACAGGCAGGCATCCACGCGCTGATCTGCGGGACCTCTTAGCAGTTCCACCAAACAGAAAATAGACACCGTCTCTCTTGATTTTAAAGAGTTGGGGATTGGAATCTTGACAGTCATGAGGTCTGTAAGAGCTGAACAGAAAGTCCGCTCTTTACAAAATTGCTAAAGAGATAGACCCTAACTTCGTGTTCCTATGCTTCTAAAGAATCTTCATAAGGATGTGCTCTCAAATTCACCACATTTGTGTTAAAAGGGCTCATAAATTTTTCGCTAATTTTAAAACATTTCATCCACGTGGTAACAAACTCCACACCCAGAAATTCGAGCAGGAATCATAAAACTCAAAAAGCACTTTTAGGCAACGGTGAAGACAATTAGCAATACCACTCCTCTGTGTGCATGAAAATTAGGTGCAAAATAATAAAAAGTGGAGAAAATTTACACCATCTAGCAACTGCTACCAGATGCAAATTAAATTTCGGGAATAGTTATTTAATCTACCTGAAGCTGTTGCCAACTCTTGCGAGTTTTCAGGATGGTGAGCCGAGGTCCGATTGCAGAAAAAAGGGTTCTTTTGAAATGATTTCTACTTGCATTGATATATGGAAAGAAATCAAGCAGAGAGCCACGTTTTTGAAACCCCATTTAACAAGTTCCTAGTGTGACATTGCCATTAAAAAGTGGGGACAATAACTTCACTAATGGAGGTGTGTGCGTGTGCGAATGTGTATGATGCCGATGATGGTTTGTGCGATTAGGGTGGGATGTACTTTTCAAAAAATAAAAGAGGCACAGGCAGATTGGCAAACGAGCGAGAGGCAGAGAGGAGAGAGAAATGGTGAAAAAGTGGCCACCTTTTTTGCCTCTTTGTAGTGCATGGGATGGAAAACCTGACGACGACAAAGGGGTGGATTCGAACGATCGACAGATTGATGCAGTTGGAATTGTCAACTCGTTCAATTTGAACAACGCGCGTTACCAGTATAAAAAATATGGAATGTAGTGTATTTTCTATCAGCCGTGGCAACTGATAGTACTCCAGCAAATCAAGAAAATGTTTACTATTCTCTATCCTAAGGATATTTGCAATGTTTTAAATTTTCTGGTTATGATGGCAGGCTTTTCTGTGGAAACCTGGTCAGCGGGCGTGCTAAGTAAAAACAACTTACCATGAAAGAGAAAGTTGCTTACTGGTAAAGCTACACTAAACTAGAGAGGATTAAAATTGACAAAAAATGACCTTTTGGAGGCATGCAATGCGAAAAAAGAAGAAATACAAGAGTGCACTCTTCAACATTTACAAATTGGACAGTCAAAACACCGGTCAGTGAAATAAGCAACTTGAAGTCTTTCGGGAAGGCTTTGTGTGATAAGGACGAATCTAGCGCAAATGCCCACCCTGACTGCGACTCCACATTGATGGCGTAGAGTCGCACCAATGCGATCATCGTGACATTAACCTTTGAACCTTGGTGTAGCTTAGAACAAGGTCGCTTTGAAAAGTGTGCGCATTACAATGCCTCCATCAGCAACTGTTACATTATAATTGCCTCTTAGATTTCTTAAACATAAAATTGTTAAAATTAAGCTTTGAGGACTGCATAAAACCGAAATTGGCGCTCTACGAAGACGATTGTGATGGCCACACTGCCTTGACAGAAGAAAACAGTCTAGACATGTGTGACAGCCTCTCTGTGCTTGCACGTCCAGTCTAAGGAATGACTGATTTATTCGTAGAGAAAGTCTGCGACGAAGAAGTAGGACGGAGTGATAGAGATAAGAAGGGGGGAGAAGATAAAGACCAAGAGATGGAGATTGGATTGTCAGGATTTAAACAAGAGAACCAGGAACATGTCGACCAAGGAAATATGACCTTGACACGATAATGGCTTTGAGTTTCCGGTTTGTCGTTTAATCGAGTGGCGCTAGGCATCATCTAAAATATGCTAGCGATGTGTTCCTTTGGTGTCACACATTAGAATAAGATTCTGTCAAAGAACAAAATTGGGAAATAATGCATTCAAAATTGCTTACTCGTCTGATTATCACATTGCCACGGGCAGCGGTTTCAGTTGGGTCAGTATTAGTAACTTGGCCTCTAAGGCTCCCGGATTTCTTGACTATGTTTTTGACATTGTGCAGATCGAGTTTGCTCATTTTAAACAACAAAATAAGAAAAAATTGGAAGGTGGGAAGGCTATCGCACAGCAGTATCTCATGTAGCACTAAGACCAGATTTATAATGACATCAAAAGCTATTTTTAATGTAGATTTGGCATTTTTTGATCACCCTAGTCAGTCCCTGTTCTCTCCTCTTATGCATTAGATCTAAAGCTAAAGAACGCCTAACTAAAATACCTTTTCGATACCTATGTGTCTTTAACGTTTTTGAACAAAAATCCAAGAATTTAAAATCCAAGGTCAACGAGTTCTCTCCCCGTAATATCCATCGCCGGTGTAACAGGCTAACTTGAGGGCTTAGATGAATAGGTAGGAAATAGGAAGTCATTAAAAAGAGGCAGTTTTCCACCATCCACGGACACTTGAAAGAAAAGTCCCAAATCTGGCTAGTCCGCATCCCTTTCTGTCATACTGTTAGGTGGACTTTTACGGTATTCTTGAGTAATTTCCCACTTTCTCTAGGATCCAATGTGAAGTAAAGGCAGGCGTATCAAATGATATTTCAAAGCTGGAAAACATTTGGCCAGGTGTCCTCAACTGGGAGTGCAAAAGCTTGAATTCGGATAAATTTAGGGTCTCCAGCACGTAAATTTATTCCCGACACACTTTGACTGGCGCACTAAGTTCCCATATAAACTTTCCCTCCATCCGTGCATGTAAACTCAAATTCCGAAAATCAGCCTTTTAAAACATCTGTTTCTTGGAAGTTTTATATTTTCTAATTTAAACTGTCCAGACCCTAATTGCAAACAAGAGGTTTTCATACGGTATTAATTTGAGGGTAAGTTCCACAAAAGTATCAAATGCCAAAGAATACATTCCTTTCAAACCAACAATGCCCCGAAGGGCAACTAAAGCCCTTTTGGTGAAAAAAATTCTCCTTTTTTGTGTTCCACAAATTACACTATTGCGATTTTTTCATTGCAAAAGAAAAGGTAGCTGATAAAGTGTAAAAGAAGTTCATTTTTTGCCATTACCATTTTCTGAGAAAATATGACGTAATGGACAAAAGCATTTTTTTCCATCCTACTTCAAAACAACCAGTCCAGTTTGCTAATGTCGAAATGCGCACTGCACGGGAAACAAAAGCAGGCATGGAAATAACGAAGTAGGATGGGAGCGGTGTACGGAAAGCTAGGGAGAAAGGATTGGCAAAGGTGTAGTTCATCCACCCAATAAGACGTGGAAATGAGGGAATTCCGAGAGCCATATTTCTGCAGCAGTAAGAGCAGCGGGAGCGGCAGTAGCGGCATCGGAAATCTTTACTCTCCCTCTCTCTATCTTCCTTCTTAGCCCCCTCATACACGCACCGACGCTACACCTGTTGTTGTTTTTGCTGTATTGTGCTGTCGGGACGGCAGCAGCAGTAGCAGCACAAATAGCCTAAGTAGCAAAGGCGGCGATGTCAAGAGAGGCACAAAAAGACCAAGAGGAGTAGACCAAAGGAACGAAATAATCTCCTCCTCCAAACACCCTGCCTTTTCCACCCCTCCAGCCACCCATTCCGACCGCTTGCTTACTCCTTCATCATCATGATGACAAAAATAGCTGCTACTATTACGTCTACCGCTGCGTTTGTGTCACAAAAGGAGGCCCCAGTTGGAAAATGAGGAGAAAATTGCAACTTTCGCAGGGAAAAAAATATGCACGAAACTAGACCTGCAGTTACGTCATAAGCACCCAAGGTCATTATGACTGTGTGCATGAGAGCGCCCAATCAGCAGCCTGATCAATAATCACATGCAATAGGGTGTGTGTGCACGCACCGTGAGTATGTGGGCCGCAGCGTGCACTTTTGGGTAACAATTAGCCTAATTTTTCGCTATCAACAGATGGTGATGTTGCTGTTTACCTTCCTTTCTTTTACTTTTTTTTGCACTCTCATCCTGCTGGGGGGTGGGGAGGGGGGCACGAAAATGGCGATCAAAACTCGGTGGGGTGTTAGCTAGACTAGATTTATAAACGACTGCACGGAAGAATGATTAATTGATTCCCATGGCCGTGGCCATTAATCACGTCGTGTCTTGTAGCGGTCACTTTGGTAACAGGACGTGCACAGCCACGTGCACACACATGCACACAAATGTACGGCGAGGTGGGGGTAAATTCAAAATTTCGGCATCTTTCCGACTCTCGGCTCTTTGGTGCAAGTCTTGCAAAAGTAACTTATAACTGCTGATCCCGTGTAGCTTATTTAATTAGTAAGAAAAAAAACGAGGCACAAAAACCAGTAGCGAATCAGCTGCAGCGATGATGGCTGTGCTAGGGACTATATATAGCAATGGTTTTGCCTCCTTGAATTAGACAGAGCTGCCGCACAGCTATTGAGATTGCTTCACAACCTCAACAGAGACTTCTGTGTTTATCATCTCAACATCTCGATAGGTGAGTGATTTAACTGTGATTATTTACTTTCCTCTCAAAATACGTACTTGTTACCCCTAATACTTCAACCATGCAAGGCCAAGGAGTCCGGATCAAATCGAATTAAAACTACCCTACACTAAACAGTAAAATAGGGCGCTTTTTGACAAGTCGGAAAAACGGTGAATTTTGAGGTCACGTCCCTAAAATTACTGATATTCTTTTGTAAATAAGATTAACACAGCTTTACTACTGAATTGGACTAGTAGGGCTTGTCTGGGGATAATGTTGGGGCTACCGTCTCAAATGTAGATGAGAAGTCAGTTGTAGGCCGATATTTCCCGCTGAATATCCAAAAGTGACTATTATGAATTGTTTTTTACTTAAAGTACGCAAAACACGACCACTTTATCAACTGTTTGGTAATAGCAAGCAGTAGTCTATACTAATAGAAAAATGCTAATTTTTCATTCTAGGCATGCCAGGCGATTTCGCAGCATTAAAAAGGCAAAATGTAGTGTCTTTAAGAAATTTAACTTAATTGGGGGAAGAAAATGGTATATTCTTATAATTACATAAAAATGAGCTAAGTAGGGATGAGAATAGACTCGTTTTAGATGATGGGGAGATTTTCCTTTAAAAAACAATTAAAACATGTTCTTATTAGCGTTAGACTCTCTCACCCACACTTTCATGCATGCATGCGACATGAATCCCACTTTAAGATACATCAAAACGCCATCAGAGCGTATACTTTTGTCAACATTATCCAGCTGGTCTTCAATTAGCCACGTAAATCCTGAAATGTACTGCTTCTTGATTCAAGTAATATACCCTCGGGGCAACCCAAATCTCAGCTTGGTTTAAGAAACCAACCAAATTTCACAGTGGAAGTTCTTTAATAAATGCAAACTTATGGCAATGCTAGGGTTCCCTGTCCCTCTAGATCACGATTATATAGATACCAGCTTGTGAATCCGACTTACTTCCCCATTTGGCCATGGCACTATCTAGTCCTGCTTACAACTGGCAAATTTTCTGCATTTTGACAGGAAACTTTCTAATTATTTTTAACGACAGCAGACTTTCGGCGTTAAGAGAAACAGAGTGACTCCCAAAAGAGAGAGTGTAAAAAAACACCAAGAGACCCCACAAACTGGGTGCTCAAACTAAGCTCAATTTCTTTGCTGAGACTGTAGTAATATTGGATACATTCAGTGCATGCTTGCCTTTACAATCCTTGAAATAATAATTTGATAATCGTAATCACATTGGTGATAAAACACCCCCTTTAGTGATAGAAAAAGGATGAATATCATGTACTTCGTTAAAAAATTACCTATATTTGAAACAACTGAAGTTGTAGTTATCGTAAAACCCCTTGTGTATAATTGCATTTTACGTAAAGATCAGACAAGTGAATCAGATCAATGAAAAATTTATTGCTACTATGGCCAAAAAGAGATGAATTTCATTGCATCTGGACACAGAATGACCTACAGACGTTTGACAGTTAATAAATGTTCTTAGTCTGCATTGTATTTCAAAATAGAAGTAACGGATATTCAAGAAAATGTTGCTTTCTATCGATGAAGAGAATGAATAAACTGATTTGACTTTCCGTTGTAATAGGAGGCTAAACTCAGGAAATCGTGGCTAACCTTCCGCAGGCACTGTCAAGAGAACTAATTGCTCACATTCTTATAAGAATTACTCCAGAATGCTCTTGAATTTGTGGCAACTCACTACTGACTAACTAATGAAAAGTAGAATGTGTAAGAGATATCCATTAAGTGCTTTATCACTTCCCATTTAATTGTAGTTTCCGAAGCTTTAAACTGCCTTTTGTGCGCATACCCACCTATCATGGACTTTTCGATTGAACTGTCAAACAGACAAGTTCTGTGCATTTTGGCAGAATGAAAGATATTTGCTGATCTGTTGCAGTTGCGTTTTCGAGAAGAAAACCTGCTTTAGATGCGAGGCGCAGAAGCTGCGGGCAACTGAAGACGGGCCCGAAGGTCCGAGGCTCAAACATGTTTCTATGTCATCAGCGAGTTCCTAGGTAAATCTAGGATTAATTATTTTTTAAGTATTTACTAAGTATATTAATAAAAACCAAGGGACGAGGGAAAAATGTGGCGAAGTTACCTATTGACACCGTCAAAAGGACAAATGTTTTAGCCTTTTTTAAGAAAAAGTGATTAACTTAGCATACCTGCGTGGATCTGCAACATCTTTCAGAAGCATACTACCAAGTTTAAAATACTAAAGGCAAAGAATCGGCGAAGTAAAAACCAAGCGTTAGGGAATATGAGGGGACGATTGTCCAGTTTCCCCCACATTTAATTACCCAGAATGTAAAAACAGGGTACAGTGATCAAATCAACCATAAAGCTAATACTTACACAATCAAAAGGAAGAAAATTCTTCCCATTTGGAGGAGGAATGACCTACGGTAGTCCTGAAACCATAAGCGGAATCTTAGTGACTGGCGTATGGAAATTTGAAGGACCTACCAATCAGAAGACGGTAATCAAATGGGCCAAATATTTTCACTCATTTAAGAAAAAACTGTCTTAGTTTTGCCCAACCCAAAAAAGTCAAAAAAAAATGAGAAATGCCATCCAGAAGAACCTAATCGTCAATTCAAAAGGGGACTAAATAACAAATGACACGGAAGACACAATTTCCGAGTTCGCTCCTATACTGAAGTTGGATTTTGGGAAATAGTACAATCCCCTATGCACCGGCTTTACACTTTTAACTGCTGTGGACGTAAGAATGCGATATTAATGCCAACACCGGCCGTGCAAATATACTAACATTAAGAGAAAAAAATCCCTTCCACTCGGATAATGAACGACAGTTACCCTAAAGTTACACCAGAGTTAGATTAGAAAAATGAGTAATCAAGGTTTCTTTATCTCTGACGTCGATTTCCGTCAGTTTTTCATTTATTCTGTCAAAAGGAAAAGTAGTACATTTGGACAGTGAATGGCACGCGTTAGATCCCCATAAACTAAAAAGGGTGGCTTGAATAAAATCAGGTCCAAAAAAATTAATGTAGGGTATCATATAAGAGCCCATCCCATCATAGCCATCAAATATTGCATACTTCTTGGATTTAACGTTATAGGAATGTACACCGAATCTACATAAAGGTATTAATTTACACCGCTAAGGGAATGAATTCTACACGCTCAGATAAAGACACATTCCAGTGATGGTAGAATCTACTTCAATCCTGCATTATTTAAAAAGCGTTGCTTCCAAAAGAAAGGCACAGAAAGTAATCGCGACCAGAGAATAGAATTTAAACGCTGCGGAGGTCCAAACACAGAAATGTGTCGAGATTAGCACAATCGCGTGTAAATAATAAACGTGTCTGGGCAGGGCCCAGCAAAAGAAGGGTGGAGTATGACGGAGGGCAGAAGCAGAAGAAGTAAATGAAAAAGAAGGAGAGGGAGACTAGGTGAAAGAAGCAAGAGTGAAGTTAAAGACGCCGGCTGCAAAAGCAACGCCAAGGGAATCACTTTATCACTGTCAGAGTAGGCGCTGTCAAATACAGAAATGGTGCCACCACCACTGCTGCTGCTGCTGCGTTACGTGAAGGAATTCCACACTGGCGGGAGCTTCAAAACATTCCTTCTTCCCCTTTCCTCCTTTCCACTCTCCACTGGACTTTCAGAGGCGAGAAAATAATATTCTGCATCATCACTCCCACACGTGCGGGCTATTTAAATGGATGAAGGAAGCGTGTCAGCAGCGGTAAGTGAGTAGCGCATACACATGCCGGTTGTATGACCTTGGCCGGCTCCGTGTCCGAAATTACGGACAGTGAGGGAGACGAGAAGGGAACCTTTTCTCTCCCTCATCACCATGTTTTTTTTTCATCTCAACTCCCCAAGTTGTGCGTCACTAACCTGCCAATCGATTTAGAAAGGTAGGGGGTGGGTTGTCACAATGGATGATTAATGACATATCCCACCCAGCGACACCTTTCCGTTGTACATTGATATCAGATGCGCTATCAACGTACAATCACAATATTGTGCAACGTAAAGGCAACTTAACTTTACCAATCTCAAATCCATCCAAAACTACACGTTCCACCTTTAGTCCTCCTCCAAAATCATACTAAATCCTGAAACTGTAGCAATTCTTTTAAAAGGGAGACATTTAAATTAACATTTTTACCGAAAATATGATTAGGCAATGATTCAATTTCCTATGTACTGAACTCCGTGACTAGAAAGTATTCGCCCGTACCTAACTTTCGTAAGCCAACAGATTGAGAAGATGCTGCAAGAAGACTTGAACATGGAACTCACCAGACGATAAATCATTCTGAGGACAAGAGGCAGAATGCAGAATTGCAACGAGTATTTCATACGAGAAATGCAAATTATGTCGGATTGAAATCACAACAAACCAGACGAGACAGAGAGAGAGAGACGAATACAGAGGCAGAGGTAATAAAAGTGTAAATATTTGGGCGTATAAAAGGCACAAAAATAGTAGAATTAGCACTAACAAATGTTTCTTCCTCAACAAAGCCGCTTAAAACTTGTCTTTCATGTGACGCTAATTTAGGGCATGAGTAGGTAGACTCCTGCTTAGACCAATAAATCCTGATTTGGCTTGACAAACAAAAAGAACGGCAGTTGGGGAAGGAAGGATTCAATGGAAGCCTGCTTCCTGGTCCCTTATCGAGACGCGAATGACCGACTTTAGTTTGAGGCGTTTTTTCATCTGTCCAAACGCCCATATTTGTCAAACACGCAAAAACAATTTTGGCACGCGATATTTTACCTCCTGATCGATTAGTATGAATGACTTCGAAGTTTGTGGCGGCTTTGATTGGGTAGACAACTTGAATTGACCTCAGTAATGTGTAGAGTGATACGGATCTGAACTCCCAGGAATGGATCCCGTGGTGAACAGTGACGCTCCTTCGCCTTAGTTGGTGAGAAGAAGTGATGAAGGTGAGTCCACTAATGCAAAGACAAAGGTTCTGCTGGAGTAGTTGAGGACCACCTTTATTATACCAACGCCGTATTCTAACATCAGCTTCAATGATGTGGGTGATATCTACCAAGCTAACCTTTTTAAAATGGTTTAAGAGTCGAAAATAATCTGTAAATAGAAACATTTGGAAAGGGAAAATCATTCTCCCTTTTTAAATGCCACTTCTACTGTTTAACCAGTGGCACTTAGGACTGCGATCTTTAGCCTATTTCAAAAGGTGTTTCGCAAATAAGAAGTCAGCATGGAATAAATAGAACCTCTAGATGTGGAATAAGCTCTTTGGCAGACTACAGAAGTGAACAATTATGCAACTTATTCTTTCGAGATCAAAATCAGTTTAATACCAACACAATTGTAAAAGGGGACACATGAAGGCGTCTCTGTTGCCAAATTTAAACCTATCCATAGGTAGAGGATATTTGCTGGATGAATAAAAATTATGAAGCCGATATCAAGAATAAGAATGATTTTTCTCCATCAATTTATAAGTTGACAATAACGGAACCACAAAAAAGAAATTTGTGTCTACGCACCATAAAGTTCAAATGGAATACACGTGGAATCACTCCTGGCGTTACCTTGTTATAGTCTGGGTATAAATAACTTCAAGAAGTCAAAACGCACCATTTCTCGGATAAATGGCTTTTGTTTAGGAAATCAAATTAAAATAATGCTAAAGGTATAGTGATGAGTTGACTATGAAAGCCCCCGTTTTAAACTCTTATGGGGTAGGACCCTCGAAAAATGTACTAACTTGGGACCTTGAGACTTGTCTCTTAAGGTCAATGAACTCAACACTTGTGGCTAGTAAAGCCATGATAAGCAGTGGACAGGCCCGATACCTCTTTCAAAAAGTTGCCTTGCATCTGTTCCGTCTTGGAATATAAACTAACAAGAGAATAGCAATGCTGAAACGTGGATGAAGCAATTCATTGCCATTTAGTCCCAACTTTAAACTAAGCCATGATAAACATGTAGTAAGTGGATACAGCCACCCCTCCATTGGATATTGTAGCAGGTTTCAGAAATAAAACAATCTCATAACTTTGAACATCGTGAAATGAAAGACGTCATGAGTTCCTAAGGTACCAAACCAACTCCCAAATTTGGCCTTCATAGAAAGAAAGTGGGCTTCGGCGTTGCTCGTTCGCTAGAACTTCATCCACATGTATGTCAGAGAGATAGTCACCAAAGGCATGCGGGAAACATTACAGTGAATACTGAAATCACTTTCAAATTCTTTTGAAAAGTATAATGAGTTTAAAGCCTATCTATTAGTGGGTTAGAGCACTAAATGACCGGTAGCAATGGCAAAACTCTGGTCAATTCCAGTCAGAGGAATAATAACTAGGATGCATCCAGAGAGAATTCACATAGGGATTTTAGAGGCGATCTCTGTGTTTATCGGTAGTAACAAATACTTCTCGAACCGGGCATCCATCCTTCCTTGACCAGCATTGCTGACTTTATAATCAACAGCTAGTGAGGGGCAAAAAAATTTTTAAAAGTTCGTTTTAGCCAGAGGAGACAATGGAGAATAGGCACAGAGAGGCAATGTGATAGTGAGGTCTGAATGGCCATTTGATTATTTTATGATAAGCATGCTCTCAAAATTTGAACCGAAGACAAATACAAAATCATCTTGATTGGGTACATTTTTGGAGGACTAGATACACTATAAAAAAATGGAAGGATATTCAGTCAAGGAGCTACAGCAGTAAACATCAAGTCGGAATGTTTTTGATGAATTTGAACACTAATTTTTCAGCAAAAGAAAAATAGCAACATTCACCTCGACTAGTGTTGATTTTGAGATACTTTGAAAGCCAAAAAATGTTTGTCAGTGCGCTACAGCATTAGGGGTTCGGCAAAGTAGACTTTAACCATTTTCACTTAAAAGTTAGACCAACCCTACCAGAGAAACATGTGGTGGGTGAACTTAGCAATCACAACACTAAAGCTTACACAGCACTGAATATTCCATGGATGACTTTTACCCTTATTCAATCTAAAATTTTGACAGAACAAAGCCAGGCAAGAATGTAAGGAGTAAATTCAGGAACTGATTCGACACATATAACAAATGTAAATTTTGCTGATCAAAGGCTCACATCATTGAATGCCTTGGGGAAATTTTGACAAAGTAACTTCAAAAATTTTACGGATTCGAACGGTACGAATGTGTTACAAATAAACTTCGAAATCATTTTATTGCACATGATTTTCTAGGTCTAAGTTTCTGTTGAGAGGAAGAAGCCCCACAGATTTCGATCTTACCTATCAATATTAGCTGAGGGGAAATTTCACCGAATACTTGAACCACTCCTAAAGCCCCAAAATATTAAGCAAATCTCCCTCAAAGCAGACGTAGCAAATACAGTTAAGAAGAACTAACTTAGATGGTTTAGTTTTTGTCCAGCGAATAGAAATAGTCACTATCGATGGAATAGCTACTTACAACATTCTGCTAAAGGGATTCGGGCGACTCTACCCACTGACTACAGCAATCGTAAACAATGGAAGCACTGCCAATTCAACGTTATGCACACCCTGAAGCAATTTAAAACGTGTTAGCCGGAAAAATGGAACTGGTTACCGTCAAAAGATAGACATAATCATTCTGACAGATTAGAAAATGAATAAGTTTTAAACAAAATGGCTAATTCTACTGGGTTTCCATACCACTTTATAACAGTATGGAACAATTGTTTGATCAGCCAGTCTTATATACTACTTAAAGCTCTAATCAGCATCAAATACCGTATTAGATTCAGGTTTTTTAAAAGAGCTTACCAACTTCACTAAGTACAAGGTATTCAGCCATTGAAATTCACGAGCATTAATTTAATCTATTCAAAAATATCTCGATTGGGTACTTTAAATACTGCCATCCCCAAAGTTGGGCACAAACCCGACAAAAAGAAGAATTCGAGGAAGTAAGTTAAGCAACAACTAGAGAAGTCAATAAAAGCAAGCGAATACCTAGTAGAAAAAAGAAAATGTTAAAGCATACACAAGTCCGTGGAATGGTATGCGGGATCAGCAACCTGTAAAAACACCGCTTATCTAAGCGTGTGTATATTTCCTTAAAAATAGACATCTATTGGTCGCCTTTGCATCACACCAAACAAATGTACATCCCAAGTGACCAAACAATCCAAACCAGTATTAGATAATCAGGCAACTGACAAACTAATAAGGTGAGGGAGGAGGGAAGGAAGGGTTTTAGAGAACACTTTACGCCAATCTGCTGCCACGCCTTTGAGTCACAATGCACGAACAAAGATTCAATGCGTCATTGGGCTACTGTGTGGCAAAATGAAGCGGATGATTTTTTGAGTGTGTTCACAAACCAATTTCTACCTCCTCTTCCTCCTCCAACTCCTCCTCCTCCCCTACCGCTCTCATCCGGTGAAATTTCAGCCTTGAAGGAATGAGCAAAATTGGCTAGTTTGATGAAGTAATTTTCTCCGAACATGCACAAAACAGCTCGAAACACAGCAGCTGTAAAAGAAAGAAGTCCCGGTTTTCATTAGAATACCAATGGGTTTCCTCAGAATAATGAATGAAGAGAGAGGGAAGCAAACGCTAAGCTTCGACTACAAACACACTCCTATTTAGTGCCTCTGGACAGCATTCTATAGCGATTTGGGTAACTAGAACATAACCGTGAAATTTAAGCATACATAGTCCACATCTCATGTACAAACGGAAAAAATTATACCCCCATAACTACCATAAATCCAGGGTCAATTACTCCATTTTAAATATGGAGGGTTTGCTGGAAGAACCGTGACTACAAACCCATATTTCGATAAGAGCAGATCTTCAAAGAAGTGAGTCATTTTTCATTACAAATGTCTTTTCGCGGCTGTAATTCTCTTCTACTAATGAACAAAAGCTTTGTTATAGGATTTGAATTATTTAACAAATTAACTAGGGATATATCACTCCAAGAAAGTGATTCTGCAAAACAAGAATGATGAAGATCAAAAACAACTAGCAACAGCACTAATTAGGATAATCATCCTAGGATTAAAAGTGTCATTTGTTAATCATAAGGTATTGCTTATTATATTGTCTTCAATCGAATCCAAGGTCTTAAAACAGATCCTGTGGATTAAAGCGAGCTTGAGGGTAAGCAAATGGCTTATTTTGTAGGTGGTAGAAGAACCTAGATTTGTAGCTGTTTCATGTCTCTTAGGTCACTAAGTCAATTTTCACTAGGGCGTAGTATTTCACACCGAGAGGGGCTTGAATCTTACATTCTGTAAATCTGTACCTTTAATGGAAAAGGGATGGAAAGCGCTGAAAGAGTGTCGCACACACACACACACACACACAAGGTGCTCACGATCCATCACGTGATCACTGTTGCGTATGTTTAGGATGAGAAGGATATTAACAATTGTACAATTATAAGATTTGCTGATGTGGAAGTGTTTATGTAATTCTGTAAACAAACGGCAGAGTGAGAGAGAGCGCGCGAGAGAACCGCAAAATTTATAACAAAATATGGTATTTTAAAAGTCTACTAGAAAAATGTTTAATCCATTCCATAGGTAGTTTCGGATACAGACGCACAGTAGACCAGTCTTACGGTTTGTGGAATGTGTTAGCAGTCTACCAAAGTGGTGCGAATTGAAGAGACGGAGGGTAGGGTGTCACACTTTCTGTTTCCATCTCGTGAGCCGGTTAATCACCTGTCTCGCACACTGACAAGACTTAAAACACCCATCTGGCGAATTTCACAGTTTGCATAAAAGGCGGAGAAAGATTATCAGATTCATTATTAATAGTCTCTTCTTTAGAGTAGTAAGGTCGTGTCGATGTCGATGTTTCGGACCCGAGATTGGTAAGTTGAGGATAAAGGATTCAAGCAAGGTCACTAAATAAAAAGTTAAAACCTCTGATACTTTTCAGACAATCTAAGCGTATTTAGTGTTAAAAGGGAACATGAAAGTACTTTGAAAATTTAAATCTTTTTTATAATTTCAAGCTATAAAGGTTGTAGATGATCTCGAACCGAACCAGCATTCAGCAGGAAAAGGGAGTTAAGTAATGCAGAGAATGCTCCATCATTATCCACAGTAAGGCAAAAAACAGCCTTAAAGAATTCTAGACGTGTAAAACTAGTTTTATTATTTTCTATTCAAGACATAAAGTAAAGATGTGTTAAATTATGCAAATTTCCTCTTCAGAGGAACTCGGGGGGCAGCCTGTTATCGAGGCATGCAATTGAGAAGAGGTTAAACTGGTATTATTATGTGGAATCCTCCATCACTCTTATGATGAAAAGTACTCAAACACATATGAATAAAACTTGTTTTCCTGTAGATACGTCGCTAATTTCACAGGATATTGTATTAAAGAGTGATCGGAATATGCATTGTGGTAAGGCGAACGTAATATCCACCCACTCAAATAATGCAACACTTCAAATTACTGGAGGACTTTATGGTAGACAGTGGAGTAAATGGAGGGTGTGTGACCCAAATAGGAAGTACATGAGGGGGGGAGAGGCTGGGGTCCCCACACTGACTATCACAAAAAACACCCACACATATCCGAACGTGGGGCTCGGCTCCGGTCCCCAATAATTGACACAACTCAGTTTCCTTTTAGTACTAGCTCAGCGTAGAGAAATAGATTACACTTCGCAACCTACGCATATGTCTGAGCGAACAGTGTGTATATGTTTATAGGCTTAGTAAATACCACAGGTCCATAAACACACCAGAAGGGAGGTACGGTCAGTCAGGCTATTGACGCCTATTTTTGCAATGTAAACGCAATTCTCGGAGCCTTGTTTTTACCACACCGCTCAAAGTTCATGGATGCGTCAACGTGTGAATGGAACTTGGTCATCAAAACAATCCTCCTCTCCTCTCCACTTCCCCTCTACTCAAAAATTTGGCGATCCATTATACTCGCTCCAGAGATCAAATTTCACCTCGGTTCACTGTGTGTGTATGTGCATGTACCTTGGCCTTTATGAGTTAAGAAGTAAAAAAATCAAGGGACTTTTGCGCATTTGAGCAATGAAGATAACCTTTCCTTCCCTCCTTCCTCCTGCCGTCTCAGTGGGCGAGAGAAGAGAGGTGGGGCTTCAAGGGTAAAATTTGGACGATGATGAGGTCCGACAGTTGGTATCAGGTTGTAACATCCATCCCTATATGTGTTTTGGTGACTGAATCGTGGGAACGATTTTTTTTCTGCCAAGCTCTTAACCCGCTACCCTACATGCATGTGTTTTCGGTTAAGCCTTCTAGCAGCAGCTCACAGTTTGATGAAACACAGTAGTGCGTGTGTACACGCTCGCATGCGTATATGCGTGCAGTTGACAGACATCCCATCCCCCATCATTGTCATCACAGTCATCAGCACACACTCACAAGGTAAGCTGTCAATGCACTACCGATCCCGTGCAGTGACGAGGGAATGAATTGTAATTGTACACACGTACCTATCCCCTTCCCCGGTCCGATGCGCTATTGACTCTTGACTGACTCCCCTCTTAACCCTCTGAACAAAAGTAAACAATGACTTGTTTGTTGAAAAATTCAAGGGGAATTAGGCGCTTCCTTTGTGGTGTTATTTCGAGGGTTCAGCGATATGATTAAATAAGTATGTTTGCCCTATTTCGGACCATGATGACGCGTGGATTGATTGTATGGAGGTGAAGTGTAGGCTCAAATGAAGCACTCTACCACTTGATCCCCCTTTAATTTACTAAAAAAAAATATGAACTTCTCTAAATAGGCAAAAATTAAAACATGACTTTCAAAAATACCATTGTGGTAATGCAGCAGAGGTGATTTAAAATTTCTAACCATCGTATTACATCGCTGGGCGTCGGAGAGATGGGCAAAGAAGCAGAGCCTCGCCCCCTTCTCCGTGGAAACATTACTGACTGAACTGAGATTTGAAGAGGCACAATCGCAATATAATTGACAACATTGAGAAAACTTGATAGTATGAAGTCGATCTTTTTTCTATCCTCTAAAGTTAAATTTACCACCCTTTTCGCCTCTGCTACCACTAACGTTAATGAAATGTTCATTACTTGCAAACCAGAGGATAAGGCATTTAAAAATTAGCTCAGCCTATTTTTTAACTCACATGCTGACAAATTTTGCATTTGTAGCCCTTTGCTGCGTGCCCATAAATCCCCGGCAGACTATCGATCATCCCAAGCCCACTACTCATTGTTGGGGGTCCATCGAAGGGTCCTATGCCCCCACCGACAGCGCCACGAAGTCCGATACCTCCGGGGGGATCCAACTTAGTCTCTCCCATAGCTGCCGCTGCAGCGGCAGCAGAGGAGGAAGAGGAGGACAGAAAGTCGGGTAGGAAACCACCAGCGGCATGCAGACCGCTAAGAGGATGAGCCCCAGCAGCACGCGGATCCATGACGATTTCATTTGCAACATCCCGAGCTGCCTGCGCTGCCATGGCCGCAGCCATTGCAGCCGCCTCCGAAGAATTGCGTCCATGAATGCCACCACCCGGTCCTTTCGACACTGATGGCTGGAAGAGGTAGTTAGTAGAATTCATGGAGGCAAATACGTCTCCTCCTCCACCACCACCTTGTAGATGGTCCGCAGTTGGCGTAGAAGTCGCCGAGGAGGAGGAGATATGCATGGATGATGAAGGGGGCGGTGGTGGCATTTGCCGATCGCCCTTTGCCACAGCCTGCAATGCTAACGCCATTGCCGTCGCTGAATTAAACTCATTGGAGGGTCGTTTTAGGCAGTAGGAGGGAGCAGCCGAGCTAACCGAGGGTGAGGCACTGGACGAAATTCGTCCATCTAGGGGAGAAGCAGATGATCCTGTTGCACCAACACCAGCGGCGTTGTGAAGACTTCCAGTTGAGGAGTAGTGTCGTTGGAATTGCTGGTGTTGTTGCTGCTGTTGTTGTTGGGAGTTTGGAGACAGTGAGGGATTGTGATAGGCACTACTGTTGAGGGGAGAAGAGCTAGCTGAATTGATCGTAGGCTGCTGTTGTTGACGTCCGTTCATAAGCGCTGCACGTTGATCGAACGGCGGGGGAGGAGGCGGTGGTGGTGGTGGCGGAGGAGGCGGACCTTGAGAAAGCGGTCCCAAACCCGACAGTCTACTACCGCTTCCTTGTTGTTGACCCTGCATTTCCGAAACAGCTACTGCAGCTGCTGCTGCGGCTGCTGCTTCTCGTTGCTGGCGCTGATGCTGCTGCATCTGCTGCAAAGATGGCACCGCACCACCCGTGGAATATGGTAGTCGAGAGTAAAAGGATTCCAACGAGCTGTCCTGTTGATTTTGTGTCTGCTGCTGTTGCTGATGTTGGTGATGGAGTTGCAGACCCTGTTCAAAGGGTCCTCCTACACCAGGGGAGGATAATCCCAGCGGTGGAGTGGACTGAGCATTCCCAGTAGCGGAGGAGGAGGTCATGTTGGGATAGCCAGCGGTGGCCCATGGCCAGAGGAAAAGGCCCGTTCGAGTTCGAGGATCGGTGCCAGTCACATCCATGTGTCATATACTCGTCGGAGTGTGTGCCTGTGTGCGTGTTATATTGATCGGGTAATCGTCGGAGCAGAGTAAGAAAAAGTTACCACCCCGGGGCGTATGTGTGTGTGTGTGTGCGGATGCGCGCGACGGAGGATTCAAAAATAAAGTGTGTGTGTGTGTGTGCGTATGTGTGTTTTAGGTGAATGGACAAGGGGTGATACGTCCGCACCTGCGTCCTCCTATCTCCGATGCTCTCGCTAGCTTCTCTTCTCTCAACGTACTTACGTGCTTGGAAGCGTGCAGAGTGTGTAGCGCAGTAGTAGAAGTGGCAGTAGCAGTCGTACTTATGTTCTCCTTTTTTGATGAAGAATCAGCATGTCAATTACATAGGCGGATATGTGTGTGCTGGTTGGTATATACACACACATACATACGTATGTATGGATGTAAGGCTTAAGCGCGCGTGACACACATAGACACCCTTGCGCACACACCAACAGCTACCAAAGGGATTCGAGCGTGTGTGCGTGCGTTTGTGCGTGCGCACGTGCGTGCTGAGTGCTCGCGTGCGTGCGGTCCGCTGTGTGCGGAAGTGATACCCGAGGCAAAAGGGAGAGAGAAAGAGACGGTATGCGCGCTTCAGCGTGCAATTTCACGATAGAAAGAATTAAGAGGAGATTGGAATAGGCCTCAGCGCTGCTGAATACACCTTCGTGTGTCACCCCGAAGAATCTGTGGCTCTCCCTCTCTGTGTGTGGTGGAGATTGGGCCGCCTAATCATTGGTCTAGCGCAGCAACCAATCAAAGATCCATAGGCCATGTGAGTAGCGCGCATGTGTGCGTGCGTGCATCGCCTAAGCTTGGCCAAAGGGAAGTGCGTGCATACGTGCGTGCTGACGTTACCGTAGCCACAACTACGTCAAGGCCATTATGCGTGCGTACGTGCATGCACCCATCCTGCCAGATGCGATACGTCTGCGTGGGTGGAATGGAGTGTAGTGGGACTACGAATAGCCTCCAAGATGATCCCTGCTCGATTCAATTTAGATCCAAGTAGGGATTGGATGAGATCTTCCAGTGTGCAGGCACTAGCGCACCATCCAACTGATGCTGATGTCAATCGGATGTAGGGGGTATTTATACAGGCAAATCTTTGTGTGTGCGTGTGTTTGTGTGTGTGGTGCCTGTGCATTCATGCGTTCGCACACAACATAAATTATCAGGCCTAATCTGGATTTTGGACAAGACCTGCAGAAATCCATTCGCTCGCGCCTCTCTTGGGTGTGTACTTTGCTGTAATCACAGCTGATCGGGGTGGGGGGGGGGGGGGCGGGCCTCCGCGTTTGTGTGTGTGTGTGTGCTTTTTGAGTTCAATGGCAACTCCTCTACACCGCATCATCCCCCCCAAGATTTCAGCATTGCATCTCTGGAACATAGCTGCATCGTTCATTTCTTAAAAGTGCAAATTAGTCTTTCAGAAGAATGATTATCTCTCCGCGAAGTTAGTAGTCAAGATTTTGGTAGACCAGACAATATTTCTTCTGGAACACCTATCTGACCACGCATCGAAGGTCGTCAACGCCCAACATCAGCCAGGGCTGATGGCGATGTCGTCATCTGGCGCAACTAGGTTTTTTGTCAGCATCCTGTAAACAATTGCTCTCCTGTCAATTAAGGCGCAGATTCAACGTAAACTAACGAACGTTAGACAACTAGTGGTAGTAGTGATGGTGGCAGTACTGGTAGGGCCTTCTATCATGGCTTTCAATCGTTCACACACAATTTCAATCCCTTAATTGGTCCCCAAATGACGTCTTCCCCTCAGTGTGAATCAATTTACTCCAAAATGGCGTTTATTTAAGAGGTCTACGATCCAGTGCTAAAGAAATTGCATCACACCAACTGATGGTTTTGACTTACCAAACAATAATACCTTGACATGGAACGCAGGAGGTTTATTTATTATTACTTAAGCACGTAAGTTTATGTGATTATTAAAACAGCAGTTACATGACAACACAATGTTACTCAAAGTATTTTTCGTTTAAATTATCATCAACCCAGCCTGTAATCAACTTACACCGAAGCACATGCTTACCATGAATTCCAATTTGTGGAAGTGCTTCGTCTAGAGGCAAAAGAAAACTAGCTCTAGACACCTCCTTCTCATCTCACCTTTGTGTTCCCACCGTCTATTTAACATGATTATCTAAGACCGGGAGGAAGGTGATATTCATCACTTGGACAATGAAGTAAGGTAGCAGGTCTCTCTCCCCCGTCCCCATCCTAACATGTGGTAAGAGGTCTTCCCGCCAGTACGTTTTATGATGAGTGGTATAAGATGGTTTAGTGTTTGACATGACTAGGACCTTTTTCTAGCCTATTAATTAGCTTTGGTGGTTTTTGAAGACTGTTTTGAATATTTTTCGTTATGTTCAATCACAGGAGGCGGATCTTAGCCTAAATTACTTTTGCTCTTCATCAGGAAGCCCATGGTGAACAGTTGCGTCTGTAGAGAGCACACACTTCTGGGGATAAAGTATCGTGTGCTCAAGGCCTGTGGTTCTGGTAGTAAGCCGATCAGCCAAAGACAACCAATGCTATGCTAGATTGGTTAATGCTACATTGCAAAAGCCACTTCTCGCCACAAATCGTCTACCAAACCACTTAATCATGATGCGCTGTTATGACTTACGTGGAATATTGAGGGACAACTTGATAGTCCATGAGGCCTAGTGGAATTTGTTTGAATATGTGCGTGGAACTCGCTTGCATGGGTCCCACGACTTTCTCAGTTAATGTAGGTGTAAGCAGTTGTTTCTCCATTGCTTCCTTTAAATATTACTTATTTATGTTCCAATCCCATTTATCTGGAATGCTCTTTGACATCATTGGGGACACGTTCCCTGGTAATGAAGAATGGAAGATCTTTCAAGGAGCTGTGTATCTGCATTAGATTGACTTATCACTTGAATCAAGTCTTTAAAAACAATTTTTGGAATGTGGGTTCTCTTTCCCTGCCATTCTGCCAAATCACCATATCTAAGTGCTATGCAATTTATTTGAGAGGATTCTCGAGACTTAAGACTGAGGTGAAAGTCATACAATGGACAAACTCCAATCACATCTCGGACATGAGGGTTTAATACCTCTGTCATACAAACCGTGGAAATATTCGAAGTTAGGCAGTCATTGCAGTAGTCTCCGGCAAAAATCGAGCAAAAATGTTCATGCCTTAGTTATTAAAAAGCCAAATAAATTATGAAAACGAAAGCATTTTAGTAAGAGGCGAAAGTAGACAATCGTGTGAGAGCCAGTCGCTCAACTGTTTAGCCTATCTCAGGACCATTGTATCCCTGCAAAATTTAAATGAAACCTATTTCCAGGAGAGCTTATCATCTTTTTGTAAGTGAAAATTCGTATAAAACTTTTGGAAGGATCCAACTGTTGAAGGGCTTCAACGGAGGGAAGTATGGTACACTGCCTCATATTATTGTGGTTTTCAAAGTTGAGCTGTCGTATATGCGTACCTCTTTGCGGAAATGAGGCACTTAAAATGCAAAGTAAGCCTTAATCTACTCTCAATCCTCCACTTTTTCTGTAACTCAAAGTTTCAACGTTCTCAGCACTCTGTGACTGTTCCACTAGCCTCGAATGCACATGTCGCCAAGATGCACACAAAGTGTAACACCTAGGTGATTTATACTGTTTACTGTGAAATAGTCCTGTGATAAAAAACGGCAGCATTACTTACCTCTTGAGTGAAATGGCATGAAAATGGATGCATTTATCAAGTCGCTTAATTCATTACTGTTGAACGCATGCTTAGGCATCATCTAAGTCATCGCGAAAGGTTAATTTCATATTGTCTTCATTTTGTGAGAAAACCACTTAGAGTACTGTTGGAAAGGATGCTCATAAGAGGAACCATTAATCGGATCTATTAATAAACGAGATTCTTACCACGTCATCTGCTGACTGCCTTAACAGTGACTATAAAATCGTTGAGGGTACCACATTAGTAATTCAATACAGCTAGGTGTGTGTATTTTATTTAATTTTTTGGTAAAAATTTGTTTGAACCACTACTTTCTACTGTTGCTAAAGAAGAAGTTTTCCGGTTTCACTTATTTCTTCCCACTTACCTATCAATAATTTTTCTGACTTTTAAACTTGCATTCCACGCGGAATTGTATGAGTGCACAGACAGCAGTAGACATCAACAATCGGTGTTTGTCTAGTGCGGGTGTGGTTAGTTAAGAAATTGGATACAGCCCACCTGCACATACAGTAACGTAGCTGCTGGTTTGAGTGATAGTTAGGCTTTGGAGAGGAGGTTTTGTAATCCCGATTACGGGTAAGATCTGAACTGAGTCCGAGATGATGGGCAATAATGAGGGGGTGCGGCGAAAGGGTCCATTGTTGTAGAAGCTGTAGCAGACACATGAGTATAAAACAAATATCAGTATTTTCACAATAAATCGGTATTGCAAAATGTGCTTTATGCTAGCTTACTTTTGATGATATAAAAAGCTCAAATGAGCTACACGAGGCCTCAATAGGGAATTTACAGGTAGTTCCCACCTTCAGTAGCTTCGTGTTACTGAGGCCCATGGTAAATTAAGCGCTCCAAATGAACGAAGGTGCCATGAGTTATGGGAAAGTTCACAGGGCTAGCAAGAGTTAAAGTGGAAGGAAAAGTGTAAGTAAGAGCGTACTTATTGATTGTGCCTTCTTATGCCGTTTCATTCCGTGTTGTATCGTGTCGTGCCATGTCGTGTGCCAATTAAGTCGCTAGCTGCCACCACCGCCACCGTTACTGCCACCGTCATCATTAGCGCTACTAATGGAGGCCCAGGCAGACAGTAGACGACGTCGGTTGATTTGTTTTGTCTGCATGTGCAGCTCTCCAATCTCAGTTGCTCAGTGATGACTTTGGAACTGTCAGTTTGGCTGCATGGTCACCTCGCTTACAGCTGATAGGGAACTATTTTGGTTGACGTCTCCACGTATCTCTCTCTCTCTCCCTCTTTCTCTCTCGTTATTTCATAATTTGTGCCTTAACATTTGCAACGAGTTTTTCAATTACTTGAAGGGCTAATTTAGAGAATAAAGAGACAAATTTTCAAAAGTAATGCAAATGAGGGTAATGTAATTATCAAATACGTCGGTCGAACTATCCAAATTACAGAGTCCCTTTTTCTACCAGCAATAGCGAATAGTGATGTGCCACAAGTGGTATAGGCTGTCTTGTCAATAGTCACAGGAATGACACTCTACAAAGTTGACATCGAAATAAAGTGAGCATGGCACTGCTCAATCATTACCTTGCAAATCGTAAAGGCTGTGTGAGAAAGAGCCGTTTTTCTATAATACGGAAGGGATGCAACGTGTTAGTGGCAATGTGGTGTATTTCATCGTAAACTTAGCCAGTATCTTTCTTACCGCAAACCATAGAATGAATAGTTAATTTATGTCGCCTCGGCTCTTATCTTTAACAGTATGCATGAGCGACAATGTATGATTCTAGAAATTCCAACAGTGTAGAGATACGGAGCCGAACTTTAGGGGTCAAAATATCCACAAATGATTTAGCCCATCCATTCTCAGGCAGCGTGGGGTGTATGCGAATGGTCATGTATAGGCTACAATACACGCGGCCCAGTTGATCCAGTTGATTCCTTAATGACAGATGCTAACTCATGTCATTGCAGCTTGACAAATTTTCTGAATAAAGCTTAAAATATCACATTTTGATAAAAATGACGTGGGAGAAGCTAGAGAGTTGAATGTGACAACATTCACCAAGACGTCCAGCCATCTATCTTTGAGCCATATAGTAACGTTTGTTTGATCTAAAGACCTGCCAACAACTTTCACCATGTGCATGTAAAAAACAGAAGCAATAGAAATGAAAATAAAAATAACAGTAGAAATTTGCTGCATCTGGCTATTTAGACTTCAGCTTTATTTTATTAGTTTTTATCTTAGATAAATTTCCCTTAGACATCCCAGTGTTCACGAACCACTTCAGCGACATCATATGGTATGCTCTAGGTACTTAAAGTCAGAAAATGTTCATTTTTATGCAAAACACTTGTGCTCTGTGTCTTTGGATGATTGCCAGCCAACTACCAAATGAAACCTTAATATTTTGGTTTATATTCTTTGAATAAATGAGACCATTTATCTTACTATTTCCCTTTGCCACAAAAGAGATATTCCTCGTAGAAGTCAAGAACTCTGTTTCCTAAAATATAGTTTCTAAAAATTTTATTTAATTGTTCTAATGTACTATTAGATCGACTTAAAATCTAAAAACGATAAGTTGACTTTTTATCAGAATTAAGTATTCAATAAATGAAATCAAAGTTTGGGATAATTTCATCACGATGGATCTCTCACCACAATCACGGTTGCCCATAGGTAACTCTGTGAAACGATCTTAGACGTATTATTGCAAAAGCATCAAATAGAGTCGAGACTTATCCACTCTGATTTAATAAAAGAAGCCTGCGAATTTGTATCAAATTGCCATAATAACGCAATACACATTTGTTTGAATGTATCTATTAGGCTAGAGGCGCATAGTAAATACGAACCTAGAAACGGATCGGATGAAATCGGCCTTCGCCAAGGAGAAAATTTACCCTGAGTGGCCTAACCATGATAATTGTCCTGCTTTATTTGACACTACCCATTGAAGTATGTCTTAGTTCAACTCTCCTGCTTGTTCCAAGGGTATGAAGAGGGAGGTGGAAGGGAAGAATGCCAAGCCTGTTATAATAGAATTTTGCTTTTTTAGCTCGCAGACATCGTGATTTTCTTACCGAGAGTAAATCTCTTGAGTACATTACCCTCCTAAACATATAAAAACAGACTTCCTTACGTAAATTCCAGAACATTTTCCCATATGCAGAAGAATATCTCTAATAGGGAATTGTTTATACTACTTCCTGATCTTCAAATCATAAATATCAGGAGCTGGTGTAAATCTAAACAAATAGTTATTCCGATATTTAATAGTCTTTACAAGAAATATTCTCCTTAATCGACCTTTAAGTAAAGAAAGAATCGTCACTACCTACATTGTTAAACCTCCTGTTAAAAAGTACCAATAATAGTGAAATTAGTTATGAGACTTTCTACGATATATCATAGACTTTTGACCAAAAAATTTAAAAAGCACAAAAATAATGTAAATATATTTTTTTCTCCAATGACTGACAAGTAACTGCTTAACCCCTTTGGCTGCCTTACCTTTTTGTACATCACTTTTCATGACTTGAATGTTCAAATAAACTTGGCTTTAGGGCTCGATGTAAACGCCTTCAAAAGAAATCAACTAGCTTCTGCTGGCTCTTACGGGTTCAGAAACGACAAAGTTCTTAGCATTCTTTTACAGTAAAACACCTTTTGCCTGTACTTCTCATGATATGTTTAAGTTTTATTCTGATTTTTGGCCTGCAAAATTCTCTTTTGTGCTGTACTCACATCAGATCCGATAAAAAGTTGTGAAAAAATCCTCAATTATGGAGAAAAAGGTTTATTTTCCTTATCCTTCAATCAGCCAACAAATGATTAGAATAGCCTGAGCAAATTAATTATTTAGCATATCTTTTTAAAGGAGTTTCAAGGCTTCTGGTCGAATAAAAATTAGCGCCTTGAAGGTCTTCTTTTCTCTCAAACAAAACTTTACCTATTAAGTCCCTCCTTAAGGAGTACTTGAATTTTCATGAGTACTACGACTGTGGTACGCGACTCTGTTGTAAGGGATCATTTGAAAAACAAGGTAGAGTGTAGAATGCTGGCCAATTCATCCACGTTGCCTATAAGCTGGTGGATGTTAAAGTATGCTAGGAGCCCCAAAGCCATGAGAAGATTGAAGTGCTGGAGTACAGGGTAAACTGGTTGTAAGTTAAACCCACTACCAGACGTTGTGAGGACGCTGACTTAAAAACAGATTAGAAGAAGGTATGCAAGAATACGAAGAGTGGATCTATATCTTAGAAAGCAAAGAATGGAACAATAATGGCCGAGTATTATGAGACAACTAATGGATAAGCTGTAAAAATAACTAAGTTGTAATTAATAGTACTGTCATAGGAAAATGATTGGCTTCTACTAAATAAAAAGCATTTATTCACTTGACAAGAATAAAAAAAGCTGCGATAGACATGGAGATATAGATGCAGAGAGAGAGATATTCAAACTGGGAGCGACCTTATTGAGGGGCAGAGAAAAAAACCGCATCTGCCAAGCAGATTGCTAGATTCTTCACCATTGGCTATTGTATGAGACAAAAACAGTCATTTGTACAAACCTTGAAGGAAGCGAGAAAAAATATATCTCTCTGCCTCTTTTTTGTTACTCTAAAGAGAGGGGATTGGGGAGGGGGACACGGCAATGTAGAGAGAGAGAGGTAGGGACAAAATGAGTTGAATGAATAGGTTGGATACCGCCGTTGCCGCGAACATTCCCCAACATACACACACATTGGGGAGCAAGAAAAGGAAAGACAAAAAAGGGAAAACATTTTTTTCTCCTCTCTTTCCCAGTTTTTCTCTTTTTCTTCCGCTTATAGTCGTGTTTCTTATTGGCCCAACTCTCCCCTGCCCCCTCCTCCTCCTCATCTACTGTGGCGTCTATGGGCTAGACTTGGGGTGGGTAGAAAAGACATTTTAATAGCCTCGATGAAGATTCGAACAAGCTTTTTATAATTCGCCGTCTTAGTTGAATTATTTTGTAATAGAGGTAAAATTAGAGAGCATTCCTTTTAAGTGGGATTGAAGTAACAGTGGGAATGTTGCAACTTAAGTGTCACTAAAAAGCGCCTTTTGCCAGGACACATAGAATTAAAAATGTTTTGTTTTTGTAAACACCCACTGTTTTTAATTGTGTTAAATAGGATACTTTAAGGCCTTTTTAAGAACTTTGGCGAGACAGCACCAACAACTTTGAAGCATTAAAGCTGATAATAATGGGTGATTGTGGATCAACTTCTTCCATGAACACAAACATTTCTTTCCCAAAACAAGGAAGAACATTCAGAGGGGAGAAAAAGTAGTTCGTTGCCTAAAAAATGGTTTATTTCTCAGTTGGCTATTGTAGGTAAGGCTTAGCCTAGTGGTAGACGTCGATTAGGATTTGAACAAGTCTCAAAGAATTTACATCCTTCTTTTGATTTTATGGTGGAAAGAAAAGTGGTAAATATTTTTCAATCTGGCCGAAAAATAGGCAGGCGGAATGCTTTGATTTGGACAATGTTAGAAGTACGCATTGTTAGGCGATGGAGAGCTGAATAGTTGGGGTTTTGACGTGTCTTGTGTGCTGATTCTCTTTGCAATTGAATAGCTTGAAGTTCCTCCGCACAACTTCATTAAGACCCATTTTTCTGAGGCAATCAAGATTGTTAAATTGATATAAACAGGTCTTGCAGCATCCAACATAAGGCAATAAAAAACTAATAGAAAGTCATGCAGTCTAAAAAGTGGTCTTTAACATGAACGCGTGGGTTAAGAGAGTGTTCTGGAAACATATTCAGATTAGAGGATTTAATTAAAAATCAAGTATTACTGAAAAAGATGATAAGTCATCTTTGTAAACGGACTTAGTTTGTAATACACAGGAAGGCATTTTAGATTTCATCCTGTTTTCAAACGGTGTTTTCAGATTTACATTGAGCACTACGCTAATGACAATAAGTTTCACTCGCAACTTAAAAAGTGCCTCTTTTATTTCAGATTGGCCGGGCATAAAGCAGAAAATTGCATAAGGGCGAGGCATCCACCGTGTATTGAGGTACAAAGCTGACAAAATTGTCTAGTTGCTACAAAAGTGTTAAAAATATTCGGCAAAAGAATTACTAGACGTGTGAGTTTGTGAAAAATTGCAATACTTCATGTTAAGAAGGCTCAATGAATTATCTAGCTTGATGGCCGTGTAGCAATAAGTTTGCAACCAAAGACAAAGGACAGTTCTCGAAGGCGCTCTTTTATGTAATGCAGTCAAATAGATGGACTAGACGAGCTTACGCATATACACGGATTCAAGGCACTCGCTATAGGATAACATGGCTTTGTGATTAAACTTAAACAGCACTTAATATTCCAAAAAGTCAGACTTTAGAATTTCTTCTCATTCTGGATCATTGCCTGGCCCCGTGGTTGTCTTCATTTAACTTGATTGAGGCTGTGATGGTCAACGGAGGAGAATAACTACGGGTAACACCGAAAATGCACAAAGAGGGGCCACAATACTATCCTTTTAAGTTTCCCAAAAATCATCTTCCGCCCAGGGTGGTTGAATCTCCACCCGTCGTGGACAGTGATATTATAGGCAATTATGGTGTTTCGTGTCATGCGATCCCGTTGGTAATAACTCGTTTACCATGATTCAGATGATCAATGGTAATTGGCAGAATGTCTTTGGCCTAATCTGGTTCCGAAATGCCCACCACAATCCTTGATTTTCCTTGCCTATTATACCAAGGTGCACTGAGCGAACCGTTCCAAAGAGAGCAAAATAACAGGCAACATTCTCAAGGCCGAATGTGGTACCGGTGACTCAGCCAATGATGAATGAGTCACCTTTTTCATAATGTAAAAAATGAATAAATCCACACCACCGAGCCACAGCATTATCGTTTCTCCTGATTAATGCGGACCTCTGTCAAAACCATGACAGGAGCGCCTCAGGGGATGGGATGGGCTTATCTGATATTTGCTGGCTTTAAAGTGGTTAGATTTGATCGTGGCGACCCTTCATCAATTGAGGAATTGTTCCGGTTTTAGTCACATATTACTTTGTGTTTTTTGAACTTTTTTTGACATCGAAGCCTTGCTCGGTTAAGTATTATAGGAAGGAGGGTCACAAACAATGACCCACCCGATTAAAGGATTTGAGTTTTTTTGACAAGCTCCCGGGCTTGACAATTTGATTCACACTATCAAACATAATTTTCTGAAGCTCAAACTTTTAAAGCCGCCCTGAACCTGTCAGTGCAGTTACGAATAAAGAAATATTGTCAGTCATTACCAATCCACATCATTATTCAAATCCACGTGTCTTAAGTAGTTGGTACCACAGAAAAATGGGACCCCTATAGAATGTATCAAGTATTTGAAAACATCAGTGCTTAAGAAGGGTTTAAGGGAATCATTTTTTTCGAATTTATAATTCTTTTTTGGTTTAAAAGTAAAAGCTTTAAGCCTGAAGAGATATGCAGCTCTGCAATCCATGGTAAAGCTTCCTAAATGCCATCAGAATCTGTGTTTATAGTAAAAAACAGTTTTTCTTTTCCTTGCAAGAAACATCTTTTTTCCCTGAAAAATAACATGATGGGCTAATGCAAATAATGAGGTACTGCAAAGGTGTACGTCTATTCAATGAATATCAATGAAAATTACGATTAAGTAGTCATAGATTGATGAATGAATAACTTTGTGTTGGATTTGGCATTTTCAAATTTATATTATGCGTCAGGTTCCTAAAAATGCTTTGATATCTGTGGCCTAGTCAAATCGACGTTTTCGACTTTATGAAAGAATTTAATGAAATAAGAACTGCATTCGCTTTAAGACATTGTTGCCTACTATTTGTAAACCCTTATCCTGGTGTTCGCCCAATCTCGTATAGGCTGATTGCTGCTGGAACTGTTTGCATTATTATCTTGACATAATGTTCACAAAAATACTGGTTTTCTATGCCTTTTTTAAAGTGCAGGTTTGCATGGAGCCAACATCTTCGATAAAAAGATTCACAGAATTTAGTACCAGGGCTGTGGACTAGGGACAAGTCTTCACCACTGATGTATGGGCTTACTGCCGGTCGACTTTGACGCGTTGACACCACGCATGCAGATATCTTCCTGCTGAGCGGCTAAGCATCCAACGAACAAATCGCTTGTGCTTTTAATATCCCGTAGATATCCACTAATTTTCGACCATAGCTTGCAGTAAAATGAGTAAAGTTTGAAATCTTTTCAAAAAAAGAGAAGGCATATTAACGACCACCGACAAAAGGTCTGTCAAAACCTTCATCGTGGAGGTGAATTAATTAATTAATCCACACATCCATCCTCTGAGGCAAGCATTTTTACGTCATGCAAGATCGTTTACACTTTGGTTGCAAGTCCCTAAATGAACCTCCTCAATTTATTATGCATGTACGAAGGAGTGCATCGAAAGTCACCAAATGCATCGTAGCTAATTAAATCAACAGCCCTGTCGCTGCGATGCAAATTCATTGCCACATCCTTCTCCCATTTTTGTGGGTAGATCCATTCCACTTTATTGACTCAAGATTGTCAAGGTTAGTGCTTTATATCCATTAAAATGATACAATTGCTTAATTTTTTTTTAAATAGTGGTCACGTCGATACATAACCGTGTTTTAAAGATCGTGCAAGATACTGAATGATAAAAATCCGATTAACTACTCCGAAAGGTAACAGGCCGTTTAGTTTTGTAGGGTGGTGGCTCTTCCGATTCACCATTCAACTTAGAATTTGGTAAGGAAGGAAAGATAAGAACAGGGCTATAAACTACATTTTTAGAATGATTTTACTTTGTAATTCAATGACCTTCCCTTTTATCGTATCGCACCGTTCCCGGCTTTATTTCTTTCCTTCCTTTTTTTACTAATCCGTGAACCTTGTAAATAATTTATTTCGAGAAATCGGGTTATATTACACCTATATCTATTCCTCCGTCTTACATCAGTTTCCTCGTACAACCAACTGCAAGAGGAAGGCCATTGTGTAGGCTTTAAGGTAAATTTTGTTTTCCTCTATTTTATAAAGAGGAGGAAAAGAGTACAAAATTACCTTATTCGACTTCACCTGACCAGATATGGTTTGAGTTGACTCATTGTCAGGGCATTAGTAGCCTGAATTTTTAAATCTACGGACTGTATCTTCACCCTCTAATCTTTAAAATACATCATTCTCCCTCCAGTATCTATTCTCTTGTTCGTTCTCTTCCCTTACCTACTAGTCCAACTGTCAACACTTTTGACTATGTCTATCTGAAAGCCAGACGTGTTTCGGTGGTCGCCATCCTTACTTACACAACGATTTTCCTTCTTCTTTACCGACTGTTGCTCATGCTGCCACAATTATTTAGAGAAAAGTTTGTACAAGTTGGGTGAATGAGAACTCTGTAGCCAAAACAAAAATTTTTGCATTGTCCCTATACCCTCCATTTTCGGCGTCGTTAACACAAGGAGGCCATCTTGTGATGGCGCTAACCTCATGTTGCTATACCTAATCAGGAAATATCTGCCACGATAAGCATTTTTTTCCGTTTGAGCAATTGTTCCCTACGCCTTTTAGCTCCCACTCTCACTCTCGGATTAAAATGACATTTCATCGCCTTAAATTAACTCCACATTGAGATGGGATGTAGAAGGTGTGCCTCAACATGAAAAAAGTAGGATGAAGTACGTAGGGATGAAAATAGGAAAAATACTGAAGCCTATTTGTATAAAAAATTCGTGGATGGTCATTTACATTTCCAGAAGCTGAAAAAAGAGGTGGTGTAAAACATTTCCAAAAGTTAAATGCACCGGAAAAAATATTAACTATGCACGTCCTTACCTAAATCCTGATGATTAATAAATACAGAGTACCTAAATTCGGCACATCAGATTCCAGTCGATGTGTGTATCAGACCGACATTTCGACTCAAGACCCCGATTATACGTGGTGTGTGTGTCACTCTAAGCAGAATGGGTTATACCCCACCTACTTACACACCTGACTAAACTTATACTTCGATAGCTGTCACGAGCTCTTGATGAGCATTTGCTTCCACCCCTCCTCAACCTATGGCGAACAGCAAAAACAAAGAGGAGTGCTAAAAAACAATATGGCGGGCCCCACCTCACTCTCTCATTTACGGCATATCCTTTTTTGAGTCTTGCGTCAATCATTCCACATTTTATCGGTTTCTGCGGTCGGCTCAATGTCCTTTTCGGGTTGGTCGCCTTAGCCCGTCAAATTGTGACATTTTTATTCGGTGTTTTAGTGTTTTGGTAAATAGCGAACTGGCAAATTTGGAAACCTGACTATTTGTATGGCCTAGACGCATATGCTGAGCCCATCATTACGGACGGGTTAGATTGGCGTTTTCCGTCTATACCAAAACAACTAACAAAAATCGAATAAGAACATTGGTTAAAAAACATCAACTAAATAGTCGCATAATTCTTTTGACTATGAATAATGCATACTTCCAGTATGTAATCTTTTGGTTTCACCCAAAAATGGCCATTACTTAAAACCGTAAAGTCATTAACCATTGAAAATGATCAAAGCGTGTATCACAAAAAACAAATGTGTAATATCTACCCTTTTCTTAGAAAAAGCAGAGTATTTTTACAAAAGAAATGTTGCACAACGAAATCTAACTTTAAAATCCATACTAGCATTTTAAATAGGATACTCAGTACGATTTACCTTCGAGAGGTTTGCACGATGTATTTGTAGTCAAATTTAAGTCCAGCTTTCTAGATGGTGCAGAATTTGCAAACGTATTTTATTTTAACAATTAGACAAAAGATATTATAAGAGCAAACAAATCCAAAACTCCCTTTATTAGGATTGTAGCCTCCCGTGACTTCCCTGAAGACGGTATAAGACTTAATTTTAGGACAGAAAACTCATTGCAGACGTACAGGGTGGCCGGCAGCCACTAGCATGTGTTGAAGTCCATGCTACCCTGTAGAAGTGCAAAGGTAGAGCCCCAAGTGCACAAGAAACAAAAAGGAAGAGTTAGAAAGCAATCAGAGCGTAACAATAACCGTGCAGGATGGTAGTTCAGACAAATAAGGCGCTACTCAACTGATTCGCTTCCATTTAAGGCAGCTTTTTGAGATGCCGTTTACGCATCACATAGTTATACTGTTCTAGGTGAGGTGACAAGTAACCAATTAACTTACTGATTTTACCCAAAAGTCTCACTCAATGAGGCGGAAATTTTTCTTCATTTAAATAAAGCCAACCTGTAGCTAGTAGTTGCTATATGGTCATCATGACATCTATTGACAGTAAAGAACCAAAAGTTATCTGCCGTTAACCATAAATATAAAAGGTGAAACACACAGGGGCGTGCATTGAAGAAATCAATTCTAGAATTCAGGTAAATATATCACAAGTATGACTAAAATCTTCACACATAAATCTTCAGCGCATTCACACATTCACAGCTTATTCTAGTGTGTGGCTAGGAGTGCTTGCAAACAGGTAAACAAGTCGCCCGGTAGTCAAACTAATTAGTACTCAGATTCTATCAGAATCCGATGGATAAATAGGTTATAAAATCAGTAGACAACGTGACATGACACGATTTGACCTAAAAATCTCGGGAATTGGATAAAAATTGATGAATCACTAAATCACATACTCATTTTGTACGCCACGACAGTTAAAAACTGTATTTCTTGAGTCAATTTTACGTAACACTAGGATAAATCAGCTGTCCTGTTTGTTATGCAACCAACCAAATTATTGTAATGTGCTTCAAAGTTTAAATAGATTCGAGTCAAACAGCCCCATTACCTGCCTAATTGGTTGGAGATTATGAATGACTAGAGCCAACATATTTTAAAATATGGTATACGTTTAATTTGATAATTTTCCAGTTTACACATTCTTCTGGTAAACATCACAGAGGGTTTTTTTGATTAACGTCATGGTTACACGTTAGCCATACCTAAGATAGGTGAGATGGAGAAGACCTCAATTTTGAGGCATCCACTTTAACTTTGAAGGAATTTCAAAACAGATGAAAGAAAATATTACATGCACCTCTACTGCATTTATTTTGCTTTAGAGAGAAATTTCAGCCTATTGTGATGTTAAAATTCTGGCATTTTTGACACCGACATTAAATAAGAGGCATGGGTTCTGCATTAACTTGTGATTGTTGTGACACAATATCACGTTGCACCCAAATAACTTTAAAAATTAACTCATAAAGAACCTTCTTGGTTTGAGGAATTAGGGATAATTACACTGTTTAGACTTGGAGTAGCATATCTTGGAATTGAACACGGCAAATATTTGGAAAAAATGTAACGTCCTAAGACCTCTCCGAAGGTAAAAAAAGGCTTAATACTTGAGCAGAATATGCATTACCGACATTGAAAGGCCTAGAGAGGCCACATTGCTTATCAAAAGTACAATCTGGGAGCCTTAGTGCCAGCAAAACCAAAACGAAGAGTTAAACAACTAATCAAATCATTACGATAAAGTCTTGAAAACAACGATTTTCCTGGTTACAGGTTCATTTAGGATCCCGTGATTCGGCGTGTATATCATATTTAAAAAGGGACAAATGGAATGTTGATGTTTACATCGATTTGGAAGAACTTCATTTCCCACAGGTCCTTAAGAACCCATCAAATAAATCCACTTACCAATCTAACCTTCATAACTAGGTTAAAATGTCAGACTCATTCAAATTTATATCTTAGCAGCAGATAAATGTTTGACCAAGTTGGAACACTATCTGGGAAGGCATTAATTGTCAAATGCATCATCAGTGACTGTTTGGCCGAGTCAACCACTCCCGTGATTCATCAGTTTCATTTTTTCCGCATATTAAACTGATGAAGTTATCTCTTTTTCAGAATAATTATGTCTAAAGAAATGTAATACATGAAACCTTTTATCAATCTCCGATGCTTAAAGTGTCATTAATCTGTCCCGCTTCTTCGTCCAAGCTCATTCCTGTGCGTAGAAACGCAAGAGGAAAAGTGATACTTCAGCTGTGCTACCTGGTGCATACGACAAAAGATAGAAAAGGGGCATAAAAGAGTTGTCGCGCACGCTTACAAAGGCGCAGCGAGTGACAAGGTGTGTCGTGTTCTCTTTTTTTGCCGTGAAAGGCCACGCACCTCCTCTTCATCTTCATTCTCGTATATTTTTTTTCCAACCAGCGCCTGTGTAATAGGAGACGCGTTGCTAACGCAAAGGATTGTGCACCCATGTTGTCCCCACTTTTTTGTATTGAATACTGCCGCTTCTAATTTCAACTTAGCAGCGTGGGAAAAGGGCGGAATATCGCGCGACAGCGAATACATTTGCTTAATGGACTCTATTTTATGAATCCAACTTGGGCTTCTAGATTTACAGTGAGCTATTTTAATATCATTTCTCTTAATGTTTTTTTCAGTCGTAGTATCAAACAGGTTGACGGTTAAGTTTAGAGCTCATCAGTACATTTCTATCTTCAAGCCCTGCGGTTTCGGTCACTATCTCAGTGTCACGATGCTCTGTAGGAGACAAATGCAATCATGCTGCTGTTCAGACTTATGCATCTTACAGCGTCTTAAGGGAAGATTTTAACTCTTAACTAAATGTGTTGGTTGGTAATTTATTCGGAGTGGACAAGGTCTTCCACTTTGATGTTTGAACCCAAAGTCAAGGTATTGCAAAGGGACAAAATGAGCTACAGATTACCGAGAGGGGCTGTTATTATTGTCAGTCTCATACTATGCGAATACAAAACCAAAGTTGAGTCATTTGAGATTTTGTGTCAACTTTATTTTAGATTTTTATGAAGACACAGAAGGCGCATTAATAGACTAAGCTTTTTCGCCTTCTCATTAGCCAAATGAATTTGAGATAGACTAGTAGGTAATACCGAAATACCGATAACTTGGTAAGGACCAAGTTATGCTGAATGTTAATACTACCCAAGTTCCCAGATTGTTTATCAAAATTATCCTATCTTTAGGTAAATGTTCCCATGGATAACGATTGGCATAAATTACACTTGTTTGATAGCACCAACAAGCCTTAAACAGTGAAAGTCAGTGAAGCCCTGCAAGTCAAGTTACAAAGTGGATCAAATTTTGAATCTACTGTGTGGAGATCGGTGAAGGATGGAATAGTATTTATCATTGTGTATTAGCTAGAATTAGGTGATGACTTCATTCTTCAGTAAGCAAAAGTACGACCCTGGATATATAAGGCTACGATCGGGGTTTTATATAAGGCTGAAGATAACAAAACGCACTAGAGCTGTTTTTTGTCCTGGAATCACTAAACCTAGTTTGAAGAGTAGACTATGTATTTTGTTTTTGTGTTGGTCTATCAAGCAGTATTTATCGTTGTAGTTGTATGTCAACTCGTTGCGACGTGTAATAAACATGCAACTGTTTATATGTACTATGAATCCGGTGTGGCGGTACTCGTTTCGCCTTCTGTACTATTTTCCTGTTATTTAGAACTCGCAAAAAATGTTATTTATAATTAGTATAAAGCTAGCCTCCTCGCTTTATGAGGTGAGCCTAAACCTGTTACTAAGCTACATAAGCTCCACATCACAGAGAAGGTAGGAAGAGTTGCGGTGGAAGCTAAACAAATAAATACCACTCATATGTCACACATCGACGAATGACAAGCATTAAGCTTAACAGATTGTCACCTTGTTATCCACTTCTCTTGCTAACAACGACTCGTATATTTTAAATCGTTCACTGCCTGATTGACATGCTCGTGATGAGAACCGAGTTCCACACTCCAAGCTTCGTTAATCCGACGCGCATATTGTTGATTGGGCCACAAACTATACACTTACTATCCATTGAACACTTCTGGGTTAAAAATCCAACCTCAAAAGACCATTAGTGCATAGCTAGTAGTAGATCATGGACAAAGATCTCCGAAATAAACTTACCACTGAAGGCCAAGCAGCCGCGGCTGTGATATTGATACTACTCGACTAGGGCCAGGTTTTTTGACCTCGAAGTAGAAAGCTCTTGATAAACGTGGAATTCGCGGTAGGCTTGTACCTCACTAAAGAAGTTTCAAGCAATTACCTACATTTGCTGCACAGAATTTTCAAGGCTTTTTAGGCTGTCTTTTACTTAAAATTTAACTATTATACAAAACTGGAAATTGCGCTCAGCTTTAGAGTACCATTTTTGTAGGAATTTTACTTGTTCATGCTTTACTTCGGCCCATTTTACGGCTTTCAATTACCTTTTGCAGGAGCAATGTAGTTCAACCACCGTAATTATAAAGCCGCGGCAATTTTTTCTACTTTCCATAAACGGAAACAAGGGTGTGCAGAACGTATTCTTCTCAATTTTATGGATGATTTTTGAAACAATTAAATACAGGTGAGCAAGTTCAATTGCTATAACCTCCTTTTTAATTTCGTTGCTTTTCTTCCAGATATCACTTTAAAGGCTTTGAAAGATCCTATCGTTGCAATGCAATGGTTACTGCATTACTGCGTACCATCATTTAGATCTGAATATAGTAGTTTACAGTGTGGCACCTCGACACTTCCCTTAAGATGAAAGAAGATGTAATACTATAGCAAAACAGGTATTGCTGACGTAGAGAACGGTTGGGCACTACAGGCGTGGCAAGTTTATTAAACAAAGACGGAGCCTTAGTTACTCGCGAAACAGTAACGAGGAGTTAAACAAACATTAAAATATTACACCTTAAAACGATCCTTCATATCAACGTTCAGTTGCTTATCCAAGGATTCAAGAGCTAAGACAATAAAATCTACTGATGCATGTATATGGGGTTCGGTCTTTAGTTAGCGGGCATGGAAGTCTTGATGGGCGGTGAGCAGGTACTACACGAACAATAGGTATTGACTTTGAGAAGATGACAAGACTGTAGAGATTGAAAAGTCGGCATATTTAATTATACAAATCAAAGAAATGAAGTTCTAATCTAAGTTTGCTTTCGATGTCTTTGGCTGTCAAGGTTTTCTGTGCTTCGGAAACACAAAATGAAATAACTTGATCGTCATCGTTAGATTCTCTGTTTCTTGTATTTCTTTTTGACACTTATAGTCATTAATTTAAAAAAGTAATTTATTTTCTAGTCCATTTTTGGATGGTGGGGCGAAATAATGAAGCACAAATTAAGCGACTCCAAACCTCGACCACAAGTATCGGTTGATATTCGGTGGTCCTCCTGCTGACAAGTGAATCGAATCTCACAAATAAATCCTTTAAACTTAATTTATAATAAAACTCCTACTCTGGCGGTTTTTGACTATCTACAACAGATCAGGCAGGGTGATTGGATGGGTTTTATGAAAGAAACTGCTTCACTGCAACTTGCATTTGGTTATTGCTGAGCTGATCTATAGTGAAACGAACTTTCACGCTGAGATCAAATGTTTTTAGTCAATGACGTGATAGCATTGTTGTTTGAATTCACTTTCTAGAAATCTTACCCCTTATATATCTTAGTGAGTGAAGGAATGCTGGGAACACCAAGTCAACGGATTCATGCTAACTTATAAGTAAATCAAACCCTAGCACTGCTCACTTCATAAAAGCAGGAGGAATTCCCCCTATTTTATTACCAAATTTTTCCGCTTTTTAATTACGAATTGAAACACTGGGAGTTTTGCCTGTATTGACTTAACCCTGGGTCTTTTTAACTTTGCAACAAAGAATTGCACTGTAATCTGAGATTTTGCAGAATTCTTCCGTTAGCAAAAACGGAGACAACTGTAGACTTAACAATCTTCCATAATGTATTTTTCTAGAAAAGCATGCAATGATTAATACCTTTTCCATTTTCTTGCGTTAAAAATACATTTTTAGAAGTATACATCTATTTAGGGGTAGACAACGAAATTTCTGCTGCCTAATGAATAGGGCTCTGATATATTATTCGAAGTGATAGTTTTTATGACTGCGAAACTTATTTATGAACTGCTCTAGCGAGAAAGGAGTAGTGCCTTTTTACACAACGGCTATTGCATATGTTAGGAGGATAAAGGCATCTCTACTGCTGTGAGTGTTCATTTGAGTTGCTCAAAAATGACTCCACTGTTGAGACTAAACAGCCACGTCCAGGAATGAAGTGAAAAGAAGTGGGAGTTGACGACGTTGTATAACAAATAAGTGTGAGTGTAGAACATCTGCTTGTGATCTAAACCTTGTTTAGTCCGTCAAGTGGAGGTTCAAACAACCGTTGACACCAAGGCGTTCACTGTCTTATTGCAAATGTGGAGTCTGCTTAAATAATCTTTACGAGAGTTTCCTTAAGTAGTTCAGAATCCTGTTACCACTCTATTTATGCTTTATTTAGCATTAAAATTTGTCTTTGAGAGCTATTTTGAAGAAATCGGAGCGTTGAAGCTTTTCGAAATGTTGTAAGGCTGTTCAACCTACATTAAAAATTCTTATAATATTCTCCTCCTCGGAAAGGACACGTTAGCTGAAGAAATTACAAATAAACTTGATAGAATATAGGAGAAATGTTGGACACGAATAAAGGTGGATAGTCCTTATTATGAGATAATATTCCAAACAACAGTAAAAAGTGTGTAATTTTGGTAGAAGTGGTAGCGCTAAATCCTTTGTTGGAATGGCTTTGAATAGTCGGACATTTTTAAGCATTCTGATTTATTTTATGGTCGTGCGACTTCTCTCTAGGCTGCTCCTCCTTCAAAGAGATCCATGACAAAATTAGGTTGGTTTTGTGCTTGATGAAACTAGGGCGACTGTCCTTTCAGGGGATATTGGTAAATCAACCATCTGCTCATCTTGGCTAAACAAATACATTACTTTGACTAGATTCTGCCAAAAATTTAGCTTTTGTTCCTCCAACACTAGAAATTCATGCTGGTAAATAAATAGCTTGTTTGGAATCCTACACATTCATACACAAACTCACCCACAAATAGCACACCAACAGCAAGTCTAGACTGCTCAGTCATGCATGTATAGGCCAAAATATTTCACCGTTCTTCAAATACGTTCGAATTACCCAACCATTATCTTTATATCAAGATAGAACCATATTCTTGAACTGCGTCCATGTAAATGCAGCAACTTAAGGAATAGTGTTGGGCTTTCAAAAAGAAATATTATGAGGGTGGGGTAAATTCTCCTAATAGCGGATCTAAAAAACCTCTCATTTTGGTTCTTCTTAACCTAAAACGCTTTAGTGTTCAATCAACAGAAGACGAACAAGTGAAGCAAAAGTAAAACGAGTGATTTATGTGGCCGGTGCCAGTTGGAATGAAGATTACATTGCTTCGGTTCTCCTGTTAAATTCTAAGTATAAAGGACTTATAGGACGTCATTTA